ATATTTTTTATGTTTTCAGTTATTCCCGAGTAGAGCGAATCTATAATTCTAAGTTTTATAATTGCGGAACGAGGTTGGCAATATAATGATTGTAGGCTTTGGGCGTGGCTCTCGGCTTCGTTACCATCTGTTATCAGAACTAAAGGGCACATAGCTCCAAGCTTTTAAAATGAAATTAAACAATAGTAAAGATTAGCCGTCCGTTGTGTGCGGCAAAATGCCGGATACGCATGACTGCAGCATCCTTAATTGAGTGGTTTCATTGGCCCTATATACCGTAATATTAATGCGAGATATTGGCGTGTGATATTCGGAAAGAGGGGAGGAAAGTTCAACAGTGTGATGCTGCCATTAAAAAGAAGAATAAACAACTTATAGTAGTCAACTTCAAGATGCTAGAGCTGCTGCTCGCTGGCGGTCATCGGAACAGCCAGTCACTAGCCCGACCGAATCTCCTCGACTGGTGGCTGGCTACCAGTAGAAATTTTCTGCTGCAGCATCTGTCATATAGCTGGGGTTGCCGCAATCGCTTTCGAAGGGACAAGAATGAAACCCCACTGAACGCTCCCGCGTTGATATCAGTGACAGCGCACGAGGCCGAATGGAATCGCTAATAAATAAAAGACCGTGTGAGTCACTTGGACACTACCGCCAACGGCTGCCTTTCACACGCGGCTTAACTTAAACAGTTGCAGAAGTAGCAATTTAAGAGCGTTGTTCGCTGACCGAATGTGTGCACATGTTAGCATGCGCGACTTACTATTTGCTGTTAAATACCTATGAATGACGCGAGACAACTAGGTATGTGGTCTGAGACATCTGCGGCATTTTCAGCCGTCGTCGTGCTCGTGCCCGTGCTCGATGTTCCGGCAGCGAACGTCGGTAACAATTCAGTCAGCTTACTACATCAATGAGAAAGAAGAAACGAACATCCCCAGGAATATAGCTTTACGTTAGAGCTATTCCCTTGCTACGTCGACGACGTCGAAGCGGTCCTGCTAGCTGGCTGTACGTGGTGGCTGTCGTAGTAAGCTGATGGATAGGCTCTTTGTCCACCTGTAAGGAGTCGAGCCGCGGCTAATAATAAGTTTGGCTGGGATTGAGAAGGAACTTCTAGGCTTTGTAACTTATTTTGGCAGAAATGACATAAAATACGCGAAAAGGAATCTGCTCAAACTGAACTAGCAGACTTTCAATGTGCCTCTGCTCAAATATCACATTATTATCTGAATGCACATTTGTACATAAATCGTGTTTTTTTTTTTTTGTAAATTTTGAGTATTTAAAAACTAATAAAAGGTCTGTGTATGCTTGGCAGAATGCTTCTCTACCATTGTGTGACATTTTTCAATCAAATATGTACTGCGGGGAATCTGCGGGGAAAATCTGATTTAAAATTGGAGCCGGGTCCTGTAAACTTTCGGACAGCCGATTTTAGCAACGTATGCCCGAAAAAAAAATTTGGATAGCCATGACCTTTGCCGTTAAGTGGCGCCTGGATATTCGTGCTCTACTTTTTGAATTTTTACACGGTAATACCCAATCGCACTGAACTATGGGCCGTATAGATATTCCTCAAATCAACCGAAGCACACTTCGACTTTATTATAATAGAGTCTAATGAATATACTTGGCCGCATTTGTAGAACGATATTATATATGATCATGCCTCTGAACTCTACATGCGTTATCTCTTTTAGTAAAAAGCTAAAATCGATAACCAAACAAGAAAGTAATGTTTTTAAATATAGGAACACTCAGGTTCGCTTCGGCGACATTTGCTGCGTTACGTAGCCCTGTATAGATAAGTTTAATTACGTAGTCAACGGGAATTCTAACGGAAAGAATATAATGGCACATTTATAAAGGCTGGCTTGCTTTTGATGACACTTTTACCCTGATAACGTGAAACGCTCTTGAAACAGGCTAGTCAAGAACACTTTGTTAAGATGATTGTGTCGTATGCTTATGCCATTGTCTACACATAAAACCATGATGTGACAAGGTGTTTGGTAAAAAACAAGGTGACAAGGCAGTGAGTCGATATCGCCTTGGCCATAGGCAGCTATTAACCAGAATTAACCCATTCCAACGTTATCTGGGCTAGTACATTGCTACAACTGCTGTTTCGACAACCAGCTGTTGCACTAACAAAAAAGCTGACGACATTTTGTCAGTGTTTATCTGTACGTACGTACCCATCGGACGTATGGGCGTGCTCACACACACACACACACACACACACACACACACACACACACACACACACACACACACACACACACACACACACACACACACACACACACACACACACACACACACACACACACACACACACACACACACACACACACACACACACACACACACACACACACACACACACACACACACACACACACACACACACACACACACACACACACACACACACACACCAGAGCAGTAACACCCGAATCATGCAAACCGAGCAAATCCACTCATGATTTTTACTGTAGCCTGCATGGGCTAAAAACAGCTTATCTTGGACCCTGGCGTAAACTGTCAATTGTGAGACATGTTGTTTAACATAAGAGAGTCTTAGATATAATGCGTATCTTTGAATTTGTTTTCTTTTAATTAAATAATTTTCTATCTGTAGAGAAAAGTAAGATACCTTACCGCCGGAATTCACTTATTCACTCTACTTTCTTTTGGAACTTTTCAATGCCGTTTGTGGTGCTAGTTGAGCCATCATTATAGCTAGGGATTTGGGTCAAAGATTTATAGCTTGATGCCGATTAAAATTTTCTGAAGACCATGAAATCATAATTACAGATTCGTATAAAGTCAGAGCAGAGCAAAATCTAGTATTTCTATAATAAATATAATAAATAATAAAGTTAATATCTGTAATTTGACCAAACAATGCATCAGTACTTTTGACCCCACGCGCGTAGACACTTATCTGTTATTTATTCATACTGTCTTAAATTTCTACGCAGATCTCCACAGTGCGTACTAGTAGACTATTACGGTCACTACGACATGTTTATTTATATAAGCAAAAGACTCATTAAAAAAAAAAGACATAAATCACAATTCATATGATTGCTGTGAGTCTTCATAGAGAAAAACTATTAACAAAAACAAGCCTACCCGCAGGCCTTTACAAATAACAGATGCATATAAGGCTGATCATTCCTACTCATATGCAGGGACGTGCAAGGTATTGCTGAAAATTGATTTGGCTGCAGAATAAACGTGTGTTGAGTAATTGGCAATGTCGTACCTAACTTACGACAACGAATGAACATTTAGCTTGCCTTGCTGATAATGGTCACTTTGTCATCATTCGGTTGTGACCTTTGCGGTCATAGGCCAGCCAGAGTGAAAACGAGTAATAGATATCTGTCCTATTTCTTAGACTGCTGAAAATTGCTATGGAGGTTTTGTTTGTTTTGTTGTCCAACTCGCATATAGTGTTTGTATGTTCATTCATAATAACAATTAGACCTACGTAATACTATTCAATACAGAGTCATGTTTTCAGTTCAGTATCTGACACAGGTAGAATGTCAATAGGTTGAGAACGCCTAATTCCGTTAAGTACAAACCTTGTGCTCTGTTATTATATATTAGTATAGTAATATAATATTATATATTAATATAGCGCTCTTAAAAGGCTTTTACAAAAAGTTGTCACCGCATATAGGTGTAACTTGATTTTCTTAGTTGGCTCTGTTTGGCGATAGCGTTCTTCTCGAGCATATTTACTTAGAATTGAAATAAGAAAAAACGTTTATTTTGAGTGTATGATAATGTTTGTGAGCTTCCAAGAGAGATGTATATGGTGGATAATATGAAATCAATACGAGTGCTTATACAACGCCATATATTTATCTAAGCACTAAAGGAAACAGATGAAGTTCCACAAGTAAGGAACAATACTACGTATAATTGAATCTGGACAATATTTTAAGCTTTTTCCAAAGTAATTCGTCGATCTGCACTAAAGCTGCAACCCTCATTTTACCAACAGGCTGGCACCTACAAGGAACAGTCTAACGATATGATGTAGCTGCTATACCACTACCCTATCCAGTTCCCGGCTTCAAAAATAGTTTAGATTTCTAAAATAATTAGCTTCTATTTGCACACCCACACAAAATTCCACGTCATGCTCACGTAATGTTGTAATAGAAATTGACTTCCTCATAGCGCAGCAATGCAAGACTCCTCGCTTGGATCCAGTATCCCGAAAAGCGGCATTTTTTTTTTACCCGGAATTGGATTCAGGAAAAACGGTTCCGAGAAGCAGAAGCTTCCTACCAGTATATAACATTCCGTTGTCATTTAATTAATAACTTATCTATGATAACTATCATATAATGTTTGTTAGGTTACCTATGTACATGGTGTTTGTTTCAGTCCCTTATAATCCGTAAAAATAAGTGAAAATATTGCAAAAAATCGTTATCATCAAAGATCTTAAGAGGACCAAAGCAAGAATCATGTTCATGGTTTAACTGATATTTGAACGGTGGCGCGTTAATACCTCGTGTACCTAACTTTCAGTATTGACCAAAGAAACACATAAATTAACTTCACTTGAAATTCGACTGAGGTTACTTTATTTTTATCATCGTGCAAACGTTGTTGGCGAAAACTGCCAACTTATCGATTCGAATCGGGATCCGTTATCAGGATTTTTTAAATTTCGCTTTATCGGCCCTCTATCTACCCACATGATAATGGAGCAATATCCTTTCTGCATTCAATTTTGCGGTCTACTTAAAAGCTTCTTGGTATTTCTACGCAAAGGAACTTTGGAACCCTCGGCGTGGATAATTTATTATTACCAAGCCTATCTATACGGAAGCGAAAGCTTTGTTCGCTCGCGTGAACGGAAATCACTAAGTGTAGTACGGTTCGGAAATCATAAATTACGATGAGATTTTGCCCTTTATCTAGTGTATTAAAAGCGAATACAAATAGTAGTCATTAAGGGCGAATAGTTTATCGGATATTTTTTCAGAGGAGCGCAATGCAGTCGCGTAGTGCGACGAGCAGGCAGCGAGTCCCTCCTGTCGATTACGATGGGCCCCCTTTACCCCCTGGCCCTTCAGGGATTCACACTGGGCATCACGGCGGCTCGTCTGTGCAGGGACGTCAGAGAATGTACGACCAGCATCATGGGCACCAACGGCGACAGTCAAGTAAGTTTCTCGAATAGCAGAATGTATGGCTTAATTACTTTACGTGATATGCTAAGTACATGATAAGTGTAGCTTTAAGATAAATCAAGTTACAATGTCAACTAAGATCAAGAAGTACAAGTTGAAGCAAATTTCCTATTCCTGGGTTATATCAACGATTGTGGTGCTCTTTTCTCAACCTACGTTCCTTTGTTTGTGTTTTTATCTTATTTCCTTTAACATTTACACGGAAATGACGCGATAGAAACGAATCGTTCACTTACCACAATAATCTGTTTTGAATTGACAGCGGCTTCGTTATACCACCATCGAATGTCGTACGGCGAATTTCCGACTTCGGTTCCCCGACCCCCCTCACCGCCCACTTCTGAGACGACAGAATCCTCGTGCGACAAAGAAAGGCAGCCGATTTTTCGGAGTCGAAGCAAATATGCGATGCACCACCACGGAACGCTTAGGTATTGATAAGCGTCACCGAAATCCCCCTAATTATCTCAAAAGCGCATATCTGTTATGACGAGAAATAGCATGGAAAAGACATATTGTAAATAGATGTTTGTATTAGTCATATAGCTCCGCCTGCATGTACAGAACTAGAAATCGATATCATTGTATAATTAATTTTGCATTTTTGTCGGAGAAAACCTCAACGGCAAATGGGGCAACTTATTTTTTTCTAGCGTTCGATCCTGGCCCAGGTAAATATACATGATACGCTGCTATGTCCATTATGTTGACAAGAGAAGTGACCATCGAGCAAGTTCCTCTATACAATTTAACACAAATGTGCTTACATCTCGCACATTTACAACTGGTTCCCAGTTCATGAAGACCACGCGTATAGCCCATTATCTTTGTTAGATTAGTACATTTGAATGTGCTTTTCCTATGCTCGTAAAGCTTCTGAAAGTCTGAACAATTCATTAATAACGCTATTTTAACGAGTTGTTATTTCTTAATCGAATAGAAGGTGCTTATCTTCTAAATGTAGCAATCTTGCTTTATCTGAAGATCTTTTCATATCTACGTCTTAACGTAAAATAAAAACAAATATCTAAAAATTGTTATGCAAACATAACATGCCGCCGGTAATCGATCACGATCGACCAAAGGACCGAGCTGCAGCGCGTTTCTCGGTATTCCGAGGGATTTCGTGCGCTGAGCTCCGCGTCCGCATCTATTGCAGCCTACTAGACACTGGGAGCAATGTTAAGACAAGTGAGGCATTCATTAAACTCTGCTATGATGTTTCTCTCTGTCGGCGCTCAAAAGAACGTTAGCTGACTTAACTAAAACATGGCTAAGTTCACTCCTTAAAATGATGCAAAAACTTAGGGTTGAGATTCAGAAGTTTACAAGTAAAGTGTGCATGCTAACGCGAAAGTCAAAAAGTTCAAAAGATAAGACGGGACACGCACATCGCTTTACGTTGCACCACATAATCGCCTGAGAATAAGGTGGTCTTGTTCTCGGATATTGGTTCATAGGCGAAATCAGACGGTGTTTGTGCCTATTTAGAACACGTCTGCCCGAATGCGTGAACGCGTAGAAGGCAACGAAACCGGTACTTTCAACGTTTGAAAATTCAGCGTATACATGCTAGTTAGGCTTTGTTCTTCATGCATTTACTATTTAAAAATTTTACATATTTCAGTCCGGAACGATAATGATGATTTAAAAGAACAGCGATTAAAAGACATTTTCGTTGGCTGGCATCGAAGATCAAACGATGACCACGTCTATCTAAATGTAGTCATAATAACTTACCCTTGACACCGTTCGCTATCTTCACTGCAATGCCTATCTCTTGTTCGGTCAATGGATTTGGCTGTTCGTTTCGACGAGATGCTTCGCAAGCACACCCCGTTCGTGGATCGAGCCTATGAACTGCACAAAAAATATCTATGCAACTATAACATTAGGGGTGGCCGCGGGCACTTACCTGAATACGGTCTGAAAGCATTTATATCCTACAAACCCATGCTAAACTTACGCGGCACGTAAATTTTGTCTCATAATAAAAAGAATATTTTTAAGGTTGCACGTTATTCTTATCGAATAGTTTCCAAAAGTTTATTTATACCATTCAGGACAGTCCTGTTTATCAAGTGGTTCAATAAAAGTGCAACGATTCACTTAATTTTCTTTAACTTAACGGAGCTTACTTATGTTGTAATTTGCTGCTGTTCATAAATATACGTTTTCGATTTTTCCAATCAGGTCATCGCGAAGTGTTCCTACATTGGCCGTAGCTACTTGGGATGGCGAACCGTGTCCTCTTCACGGTGAAACCTGGGGCCTACATGGTGGGGGGAGTGTTACACCCGTCCCCTTGTCACGTTTTGCGTCTACACTAAACATAAACGCATTGAGTGGTCCCACGTTGCTGCGGCCGCCGACGCGCAGCATTGTTGTTCCGCCAACCCCGTTTCCACTGCCACCTCCCCCAGGGCATTTTCTTCCACCGCCTCCTCAACATCATCACCCACACCTAGGCCCTCCACTGCCGACCTTTATGCCAATGCGGATGAGGTAGGCATGTTCTAAAATGGCTACTGATCAATCGGCTACTTATGAATAAATAAAGTGAAATTACAATAGGTATAGATTTACCGTAAACAATTTCCAGAATTCAATCCTCAGCGACCTTGGCAAATCATTTGAGCTAATCAATTCAGCTTGCCGTTAATTTTTCTGAACGTGTGATAACTACAGACTTTCCTTCTAATACCTTCCTATAATGTATAATAATAAGGTCAATAGCCAATAAAATATTTCTTAAAACGTATATACAAACAGTATGTGGGGCAAAAAAAAAAATAGGCTTAAGGCGCAGTTGGGAAAAATAGTTCACACTCAGAAAAAGTGGGCTCGTATTTAAAAAAAAACTTTTACTTCAACTGCACTACAATTAGGGTAACATATATCACTGTATCGAATTTTACTATAGAAATTTTATTGTATACTATTTTACATAAAAAAAAAAAAAAAAAAAAAAAAAAAATTGTAACCGTGTTTGTTCTTCATTTAAACTACGGAGTGCCGAAAAGTTTGCCTCATCATGTTTTGCGTTAAGGACGCAGTCAAGTGCTAGCTACGAGTTAGTGCCGAGGGTACAACTTGTAGCGGCTGTTCCGCAATACTTAAATACTCTTTGTGAACAACCTGTCACAATGAGTTTGAACAAAATTAAAAGAGGGTCAAATTAGCCCACAAAAGAGTTAGACAACTCACGCGAGACATGTCGGATCATCATGTCTCAGGGGAGCCTAATTTACTCTAACTCGTCATTACAGATGATGGGTCATTATGTGGGTGCACACTATGACGCGGAGAAATAGGCCCGGTCGTTTGCGTACGATTTACAAGTGAGCCCAGGCTAAGTATAACTGCAAAGCTCGAAAGCCAGCATCTGTACAACGCCTTTTTCAAGTGTAAGGAAATTATGTATCATGAACCCGTGCCAAGTTCATAAAAATGTTGCGTAATGCTGTCCACCAGAATAGAACTGAACTTAGAGAAAGTCAGCCGTAAGTTCCTCGCTAAAAAAATTTCGAACGCTCACAGACTATTTATTACTTGTAAAGTGTGTTTTGCCCAAAAACCCACCACCCCCACTATCTCAACCTTGACTAACCTTTGTAGCTTCCCCTATCCGGAAACCCCTGAAAGAGGATAGTGCTGCAACAATGGAAGACATCCAAGAAAGAGCACGACCAGAAGTGAGACGTATTTATACGGTTTAATCCAAAGGCTGTTTCAAAGGTTCTCAGAAATCACAGAACAAGTTCGTTGAAACCGGTCAGCACACCAAAGCGAAAAATTGTAGTCTGTGAGATTGAGACATGTAAAGTTAGCGCAGAGTTGAATTCTCGATATTTATGTGTGAATAGAGTATCGGTCTCCAAAGCAGCAGATTATATTAACACGGCTATCTACAGGTGTTTATCAGAATAAGCCTAAATTGAATGGCGCTAGTTAATTAAAATGCTAATTCAAATAAAAAATAGATAACGTTTATTTTCTATGGACTGTATTTTGGCTCGCCCGTATTACCATGGAACGATGAACTAGCTATACGTTTTTGTCGAATGATAGTACCATAACGCTATAATTTTGCCGTGTTTTCATTTTGTAAGATTTGTATTTTTATCGAACTTTTATTTTCACAATAAAAATAACGTACAGGTCCCCTAATGGGTAACTTCAGCATTGAAATCAATTCGTTGTAGTGCAGTGATGTAACGATATCATCGCTTCCTGTATATATATATGGTGTCTACAAAATCTATAGCGACTAGGTCGATGATTTTATTTTCCGGTCATTTTATCACTCGTGACAAACCAATATCGGCGCTGTCTTTACGCGTATAGACGGCAGTAGACGTCGTTGGAACGACAAACTATTAAGACTCGACTATAAGGTGATAGTTAGCGAGACAAACCATTGCATTTCGCCATCTTAGAATATACCTTAGGGTATTCAATTCTTAACTTAAATAAAGAGTCAAAATACAGTCACGTATTTGGTGACCTTGTAATCTTTCTCTCGTATGTTTATGACTAGTGTTCGGCCAAAAGTGACGTGGGGTTTTGAGTTGGATGCAACTGACATTTCTGCCTGGCGGACATCCATCGATTTATTGCATTGCAGCGAGCATTTTGTTCTTGATGACCCATTGAGCGTCGATATGATGTGCGCGCAAATGTTTAATCACTGGGCTTTATTTCTCAGCGTTTCTTCTGAGAAGAGTTTTTAATTCTTTTTTTTTTTTTTCTAAGTTCGTTTTGATAGTGATAATGATTTAGCTAACTTGGCAGCGTCCGGTACTCAGTAGACGCAACGATATGTATTATACTGATTCCTCAACTGCCTTGCTTGTCAGCGCCCTCTTTCCATGCATGGGTTCCGCCCAAGCTAGTTTGGTATGACCCAATGAACATTAACCAGTGAAAAAATCGCTATTTTATAGTACATCGTTAGTCTGCAAAGATTTGCGCAGTGGCCCGATTCCACTGTCTATGCTATTTTCATATTTGAAGTAAAATGATTTTGCTTATGGGATCGTTAGGAGATATATAGCGTTCAACTTATTGTTCCACACCTTTAGTCACATTCACAAATCTGCGTATAGATAACATATAAGTAGCTGTAAGTTCCAAGACTCGAAATCAACCGTTTGGGCAGCTGTTTTTTGCAGATATGTAATGGTAAACAAGTCAAGATGGCGCCCATATTTCTCAGCAAAAATGACGACAGTTAGCGCTCAAGGTGCTCTATAGACAGGATCCTATGATTGCAGGCCGAAAACGTTACGTGTGTTCTATCCAACGTTATTTATCATGGCTTTGTTGTCAGATGTGGCTTGCTTGGCTGTCCGTTGAAAAAGCAATAAATCTCCCTAGTAAATTAGGAGCATTTTGTTTGTATTTCCACTTGGAAGCAATAGATTTGCAATTAAATATGTCCTACGAAGAGAAACGTGGTTCGCTTGAAGTGCCACGAAAAAGCTGAATGAGCTCGTCTTTTCCGGGGCTTTTCTTCACTAGCCAATCATCGGCTAAGCTGACCCTAGCTTTTCGAACGACGTAAGTGACAATGTGGCGCCATGCCATTATGTGGCGTAATTCAACTATAGTCAAGACTGTAGTAAAAGATGAATGAAATATTTTTACGGAAGCGCTTTTCCCACTTCTGCTCCTTTCATACTTATGCCTTGTATGTCGCAGCTGTTATGTCGCAGGCGCGAGTAGGCCATTCTAAAGAAGCGCCTTGTCGAATACGCAATGGAATTGAATGTGCCATTTCAACCCTAGCATTTGAGAGCTTCAACTTAGCGCAGAGGACAAAACCACGTTAATTTTCAGGTGTCTCACATATGTCATACGGTGAGTTATCTGATTTTTCTAACGGTCAAACATATCGGTCACGCATGCGCATCTTTATTTTGTACGCATCTTAACTGATTGAGAAGCACGGAAGAATTATTCATTTGCCCTTTACGTGAGGCGATCGGAGTTACTCGATATGATAATCGCCTTCATATTCAATAGGAAAATCGACTTCAGAAGGCTGCGGGTGAAGTCGTTTTGTTAGTTGCACTCTCTATTCCGCTATTTTCCTCACAAGGAAATCGAAGCCATTCGGATCTTTTACCTTCTCCCTCTTACGACTTAATTCAGTTTATATAAACAGAACAATATGGACTTTATCAAAATAAAATAAGGCAGCTGAAATCACCACGAGTTTCATTCAGAACCAGCCACTTAATCGACTGTAGCAGAGGGAGGTATAGACCGACGTGTTTGTTGCTACTGATCCACAAATGCTACAGACCAAATGGCGCTATGGCTATTTAGGCCACGTCAGCCGATCTATAAGATGCAGTTAAATGATCCTTAACGTGAAATAAGTTGATCCTTTTTTCTTTTCGCTTCTACCCGTCAGCATATATCTCTCTTTTAGCAGATTATTGCTCGCTGCTAAACGCGGACAGAAATCATAAACGTTGAAGAAGTCCCGACAAAGGATATAGAGTACATTGTAGCGACAACCTATTCCAGCCTGATAAGTTATTAAAACCTCGCCGCAAGTATCAAACTGGGGTCGGTTAACAGCCAGCATGTAGAAGAGGCTACCCTTTTTCTTGTCCTGTTTCCTAATTTCGAGTAGTACAAATAAGTAGTTTTGTTACTGTATTAGAGCTTTTACATCATCCGAAAGGTGCAACGAGTGCAGTCAGTGAATAACAGGTCAGATGAACCTTTGCAACATACAGGCTTTGTTTTTGACTAGCGTTATACGCCCACCCAGTCATGCATTGTAAATTCGTTAGCAGCTGAGCTTATTAACGGTGTTAAAAAAAAAAAAATTCTGAATTTCGTTTCTGTATCGGTGCGTATCGCGTGCATTCATAGTTGACAAAAATCTAGCTCACTCAGAACATCGTTAAACTTAGCCATCGTGCGCTTGAATGCAGAATTTCTGCTGTTTTGAAAAATAACAACTATTCGTTAGTCATTGCGTATTGTATCTAGAGCCCCGGCAACATCTAAAATCTGAAATGGAAACAAACAGGAAGTCGAGAGCTAACGTAACCCTAACGGGGCAGCTAAGGCTGATGTCCTAGAGCTGACGAGGCCTAAACAACTCACGCGCGCACCGTGTATATAAGTCACACTTCGATATCGTTGTGTTATTCAAGTCATAATGATACCCTACATCTTTAGTCCCTTAACCTAGTAATGGGTCATGTTGCATTCTGCTTGGCCGGCCCAGAAGTGATCGTAAAGGCGTTGATGCTTGCTAGCGCGAAGCACAATAGGCGTTACGGTCCGACCAGAGCCCGTCTAAATGGAACTATTTTGAGCTTCCGAGCTGCAAATCAACTGTCCAGTTGGCTGTGTTACAATCATTATGGGGCCCGAACGGGAGGCCAATAAACGGTGGCAATGACGGGCCATATGATGGATGTTTCGGGATAATCTTTTTGTCATGGGGTAAAACGTGCTGGATATCTTTCGTTATGTCCACGACTATTCTTTCCCGATCTATTACTTTTCATAGAGTGAAGTTGCCGTGGTCGTGCTGTTAGTCATAGTAATCGTTCAGTTGAAAAGTGTCACTGCTGGTCTTTTCAGTCAGTGAGATTATTATTTCGTTTTCTTCTTTTCGCAACGCTCAAATGGCTATCCGTTGTGCAAGCAGCGCGCAAGCGTGCCCTTTCATGAAACAGCCGAACTCGACTGACAACTGCGAACAGGCTGTAACGCTCTTGCTTGAAGCCGCGGCCCTGGGGCAGCATAACTTATTGTTGCGAACGGGAACGCAAAGCAGCCATAGCCCGTGCTGAAGCAATGAACTGGTGCATACACGAAGCTGTACGTTCGATGATCTTCGCTAAAGTTGCTGGAACTGAAGCTGAAAGGGTGCTGGTGCCCGCTGATGGTCATGGAGGTGCTCGACGAGACGGTGCAGTAATGTTAAGAGCAGTAAACTGTCGAAAAAAAAGTTGACCGGCAAATAGTAGTAGTAGCCAGCAGTGCCTTTGTACTCTTCTTTTCATGTGTCGGTATTGCTCGGCCGACCGATCTACACGGGTTCATCGTAAACTAACCAAAATAAGAAACCATGCAATGAGCTGGCCATCCATGAGGCTCATTGGCATTCAGTTCTTGACGTAGGCGCTACATGAGCTAGCGCAATACCGACGGAGTTCTGACAAAGCCAAGATATATTCAGTGGTTGCTTAACATACTTAATTTTTGGCCAGTTTTTTTGCTTTCAATTAATTATGACGCTTATTTGTACTCTACAGTGGTAAAATGGTTTAATGTGGTCTTCTACTAATCGCAGGATATGTTAAATAGGCGTAGAGACCACGCTTGCTGTCTGGAACGCAAGTACTTGTTGAGCAAATAAAGCAACAGTTTAACCTGCCGGACCTAGACGCATTTCACCGGCTTCAAAACGGTTTCAAGACAAAGTGGTAAAGGAGACTAGTCCAATACGAAAGAGAGTTTACGGGTTCCGTCACAACCTCTGACGGGTTCCTCGTTAGCACGATCCAGAAGAGGCTCGTTGCTGCTGCACACGTCGTCAGGGGGCGAGTACGATGTAGCCCATTACCTTTGGTGGCCTTTGTAAGTCGCTTAGTACCGCCATAATTACTGCCTTAGCAGTGTTTAGCGCTTCGTCACTGTCTTTGTTATATTGAATTACTTGGCTTGGTTTTGATTGTACGTAGAATATTTTATACTAGCTAGCTGACATGGTATCCAGTTCTGGTACTTAGTATTATAACCGCAGAATTAATATTGCAAACCTGGATTTATGTAATAGTCACATCTGGCTAGACTAGCTTAATACGTTTATATATATACAACATAACATATCTTTTACGGATTTACTTATTCTGAGCTCGTTGATTCTTTCTGCAAAAGCATATATGTATCCGTTTCCTCAGATATTGAAAGTAATAAGCGTTAAATTTATATGTAATTGTTTTTTCAATCAACAGGTATAACTTAGCCGACCTACATCGTGGTGCACTTTTCCCACTGGGGCCCCGAAGCCTCTTCGGACCTCTTGGCCCATTCGGGCCCCCTTTTCCATTCGAATATAAAGCAGCGCAGGAACTTTTCGACGACGAATTAGATGAACCCGTTTGTCGAGGACAACTTATCGTCGTCTGGCTCATCGTCATCATTATCACGACTGGAATTATCCTTGGGATTGTACTTAGCCTTACTGTCGCATAGCAACAGCCAATAGGCTACGAACAAAAAAAAAACTCATAAAACATGAGGCGTTTGCTTGTGATAGAACATCTGTTACAGGGCCAGATTCTATGTGCTGAAGCTTTCGGGATTGATTAGTAAATGGCACCTGTAATATAGTAAAATATAGATAAAATGTCTAATGAAAAGTTAATGTCGTATATGAAAATTATCAATTATAGAAAGTTCATAAGAACAACTATATTTCAACTATAATTACCTCGTAACATATTGCAACGTTTTATCAGTTGAGAGAGAAAAGTCGTCTTAGACCTAGAGTACATTTTTATGGACGTTTTACGTAATTGACGTCCAATGTAACCCCGAATAATCTAAACATTACATTACACTAATTAGATATCGTTGTAATCAAGGATTTTTTACTTTAGCGCGGAGATCGCAATAGTCCGAATTGAATAGTAAGAATAAGTTAGCAGGCAAGATCTTTCAACGCAATACGACGGCAGCTTCTTTAATTAAGTTCAACTGTAGCTTTTACCCGGAAATCGATCGTTCCTTTCATTTTCGTTTTCTTCGTTCATATTCATTTTGATCAACGGTCAACTTCGGTGTATACGCCATTATATTGGGGGCTTACATGTTAGCACCCCCCGTGTTGTAACATGCTGCTCAATCTATCCATGCGATCAGATCTACCGCCTTCGTACAAATCAATCATAAATAAAACTGATCATGACCAAACGCTATGAAGCCGACATCGGACGTCCAACGGAATCAGCGATTAGCGTGTTCCTCGTTCTATTAATTCAATGTGGTTAACTTGATATATTGCAAAAACTGCTGAAGTACTCAGATAAGCGATTCTGCACGTGTATTCACACACAGTCATACGGCATGCTTGTCAGATGTTCAGAGTGCTTTCGTGATGCACATTTGTTTGAGTCGTGAGCTGAGTGAAGACATCAAATTTGGATAAAGCAGTTCCACTGTTGTTTCTTTTAAATTTTATCAGAATATCTCCTTTCAGTCAGAGATCTGACCATATTGTTGGGCATGTGACGTTATTTCCGATCCTACATTGAAGGAGCAACTTTTCCTGATCAGCATCGGACCTCTTGATTTGGTGCTCATCATTCTCGGTAGCTTTACCACGGCCTTTAGCGTCAATTGGCCTCGGGCAGAGAAAGACACCGCTCTGACGAGCAGTATTCAAGCTGCTGGTTAACGTCTCGTTATTTCAGCTTAGGCATATGCCGATAATGACGACCCTTTGGTGGTTGCACCACCACTGGTAGATAAGTTGTCATTTGGAGGTAAATAATAGGTGTATATAGGAAGAACTGATAGAAGCTGTCATGAACGTTACTTGTCAAGTGACGTTTCCAGCTGAAGAGCTGAATCCGTTTTATTTGGGATAACGTTACGGCTTGACAACATGTTTACGTACCTGGTAGTCGGTTACCTTTGAAGGTGACAAAGAACCGGTATAGTATATAAAACAAAAAAAAATGAACAAGATGGGTTCCGTATCTAGCCTCATTTGATATCAAATTTAAAGTAAAGTCTTAAAAAACGTAACGATATATAAGATCATGTACGCGTATCAGTAGTATTATTACGGGGAGATTGAGTTGAGATTAGCGAAGGAACAGTGCAATCTAATGTTTGTTGGTTGACATTTATGGGACATGAATGATTTTTATAAATAGGTACCTGGCACACTGATTTAGGCCTAATCGAAAAGAACACTTGTGACAATTTTCACAACAATAAATAGAGAAATGTAGTTATGCAAAGTGTATAAGCCTAAATGGCGTACATTTTCCGATATTTTAACGTATTTTTATTAAAATTTGCAAAGCGAATGAAGTAAATTTATAGTAGTGGACGTTATCTTTGGATGCATTGACCAATCACTAAACATATATGACTGAAAGAGAAACCTGCCAAAAAAAAATAGCCACCTACTAGCCCTATCTTTATGGAATGACACCATCTTTTATTGAATGTTTCATTAAAGTACGGTAGAGTTTATGCCAATGTTTGTAGATGCCTTACTCGGATCTTGTAAGGGTAAGAACGACAGTTTCCGTTTGTTAAAAAAAAAGTCATCGATTATTTTAGTTCATCTGTCGTTCAATATCCGTCATATATATATATATATATATATATATATATATATATATATATATATGAAGGATATATAAGTCCAAGTGCAGTGCTCTATAAGAGGTAGAAAAAACATTTGCATCGTGACTATTGTGATGATACACTGCGATCAAGTGCATCGGGAGCAAAGATAAGAATCTTTTACTATTTGCATAGGGATTTTATGCAGCCAGTGAATGAAGGTTGTTGAAGCCAAACGTGTTTGTGATGTGTCGCGTTGCTATTTATTTAGCATGATAAAGTACAATGATATCCGTTCATAAGACAGAAAATACCCGTTGGCAAATAAATTACTATGTAGTACATTTTGAAGAATAAAAATTTAATCACTGGAAAAAAAACGCGTGAATGTGCCGTTTTCAGCTACTGGTCATCATGGGATCTCGTCTTCTAGTGTTCTACCCATTTGAATATTGGAAATATCAAATTTTAAGCGTAATCTTGGATGTTCCTTTTTATTTATTATTGTCATCGTACAAAATTGAATTTTGTTACTACTTAATCGTTCCCTGTTTCGTTGACGTCGGTCTTATTATTAGTAATTGTTACCATCACATCATTCATAGTACTTTACCCTTTTATATTTATCGTCATTGTCGTAGATATTGTAACAAAAAGGCAATCGTCATTACTTCCGGTGCTAAATACCATAATTTCCCTATTTTTCGAAGACGGTTAATAGCCTATATCAGTAACTGTTTTTTTTTTTTATTTTAACTAGCACGAAAAACCCTAGCAGCTATAGTGAGTAAAAAGTAGATTTAAATACAATAACGCACCTTAAAATGATTTTTAGAAAAAGCCGGGTCATAATTTACCTACGAACGTCACCATTTGTGTATATTTGGTGCTATATATATTACACAGGTTGATCAGAATTTTTCATGATAATTATCGTAACTCGACAAGGACGGCACACATAGACTACACGTGTGAGTTTTTTTTTTTACAAATAGCAAAACTTTATTCACAGTAGCAGTTAGCACTTACTTTGTCCTTCGAATAGTTCGTTTAATGTAAAATGCTTATATGTCTAAGTATCTGTCTGAGCCAGTATGTGAACATTTCTGCTAGCGGTTGTATTTGTATGATATGGTTTTTGATTCCAGTCGATCTACGTGTTGTTATCGATGGGAAGCGTAGCCTTTGACGTTTCTGTTTTTCGCTTTCGCAGTGCGTCGATCTGACTGAGATTATTGATGGTTCGCACGTATGAGGTATACGTTTCGTTTTTCGAGGATTGTCGTCTGAGCGTCGTCCGATCGCCCCGGCCGTGACTGCCCCTCACAACCAGGGAGAGTAGCCGACACAAATACAATGACAGCTTCGTATTCACCATCGTTATTATAATGTACGCGATAAATGGTACAGCGCAGTAGTGCGAAAACGTGACGTTCTCTTACACAAAAGGAGGCTCATTGCATAGATTCTACTATGATTATTATCACGGTGCTGTGTCGTGTTGCAATTTGTTTCTGTTTCATCCTTTCGTTTGTGTTTCGTTCATGGGTCTCGTCATTCTCGTCATTGGGTCGTAATTAGTTATTATCGTCATATCATTATTACCATTATCATCATCATCATCGTAATTGCCACTGGCATAAAGATTATAACAACAAGCAATCTTTGTTATTTAGTATTTCCATTATGACGAACTTGATGCGTTCGTCTTAGCCGAGACAGTCATCATAGTTATTTTCAGTGAACTTAAATTGTTTCGTCATCAATGGCCTTCTTAATAGGTATCAAGTCGAGTGTTTGCTTGATGCTCGGTGAAATCCTGATCATGCCAATGTATCCGACGTCGGATGAGTCGATATTATGTCTCGTACAGAAAATATTGTTACGCTTTCGAATATTTTGCTTTTGATGATTCCTAGAAGTTTTCCAAGCTAAGCCTTATCGGCTGTGACAACATTGATAGAAAATGAGGCCTGACTCTCACCAGTTTTATCCACGGCCACCGCCGTGTACTGACCAGTGTCGGAGGCGTTACACTTGGCGATCTTGAGTTCGTAACTGCGGCCGTCCTTGGTCACTTTTCGGCGGTCATCCTCCTTGAAGGCCTTGCCGTCCTTCGTCCATTTCAAAGCAGTGGGATCCTTTTCCGTTGTCTGTGGCGCACAGATTATAGTAGCATCAATACAGTAAATTACTTGGACAAATCGTGCACAACTTGAACGAACCTAAGTACCTATTGGCTTCATTAAGCGATAATGTAACGCGTATTCAATACTATTCTGGGTACGATTAGTGTAAAAAGATGAACAAACAGGATATCCTTCTGAGTAATGTTGCAATTATTCTGAAAACTTATGAATACTGCCTCAGTCAAAACGTGCTGTTTTAGAATCGCGCTTCTTTTCTAAAAATTTTATTGCGTATTTTCTTCTGCTCTTTACGGCCGACGGCACGGGCCATTCACTGAACATAAATTAAGCTACAGCCAAACCTAGTATACCCCTCATAACACTTTATTTGTTCATAGATTTTGATTTACGATACTTACAAGTCGAATGCTGGCCTCTTGTCCTTCTGCAAACGTTGCGGATCGGGGGTAGATCGAGAAGCGTGGGCCTTTCAGGGTTTCGCCTGGTACGAGCACGGTCAAAGTGCAGGAAGAGAAACATTCGCCAACATTGTTAAAGGCCTCACAGGTGTACATACCGCTATCCTCCGGGTAGATCTCGGCGATTTCCAGACGATATAGGTCTCCTTCGTTGCTAGCCTTGAAGTCCTTATTTTGCTTGAGCTCCTTACCATTCTGCAGCCATACAACCTCAAAATCGCTCGAACCGCGAATGGTGGCCTCCAAAGTGACCTTGTCACCATCCTTCACGACTGAACTCTTCAGGTGTTTAACAAATCGGGGAGCTTTTGAGTCTCCGCTCTTCGCGTCACCTTCGTCTTTTTCCATGGCTGAAATGGCAAAAACAAACGAAACTATATTAGCGCCGTAACAAATGTTTATTTTATCAAATGTATGTGTTATTGAATCCGTGTGAAGAGTTTAAATAGCTGCGTTAGTTCTGCTGGCATCGCTGGTTGATTTCGATATAGGTATTAGCAATCGTTGCTATGTTGCCAATGATAAACTTCAAACCACAATGTGTTTACTGTTGTCTACAAAATTCAACAATTCGCCAGTTATCGTTCTTCTCCAATATAATGCATGTTTCAACATTAGCATATAACATGCTCAACAATGACTAACTTCATGTGTTGAAGGAAGCTATCCTCATTCCCCTAACTGGGGCAACATAACTAATGTTGAGATCAATTGAATGACTAACTAAAGGGTCGACTTATGGCGGATAAAAAGCCGGCCCCTGTCTTCATTTGCAGTGTACGAATTTAGCAAATTAATGAAGCACATAAGTTGATTCCTACGCAAGTGGTCTGATAAATTTATTGAGTCCGGATGTTAATGCTGCATATTGGGCTGTCCTCAGTCATCAATCAGACTGTTTATGGGCAAAACAATTAGCATATATAAAATCCATATGGGTATCATTTGTCAACCTACAGATATCGACTGCAGTGGCAGAACTGCAATTCCCAGTTAATCGTTAATGACATTCTCTATTTAGCTGATTTACTGTCGTTGACCTTCGAGCTTACAATATGTATCATTACACTTTCTACCCATGGAATGTTAATTATAACCCCGAATATGCCTAAGGCAATCGACCTTAGCAAAGGCACTTCGATGCTAAGCAGCTTTAGCCATATGCAGAAACGTATGTCCATCATAAACTTCACGTTCGAGAGTGCATTACGGCATGATGTTTTTTACCTTTGACTAATTGCAGATCATACGATCAGCTCTATTCCAAAATATTGTATTAAGGTAACAAAATTGGCCTACCGCGTTACCTATCGCCCTCTATACTTGTCTAGCATAAACATTTAGAATTCGAACTAAGCGCCAGAAGCTCCGTACCAGTAATTGTGAGTTTGCATTTTGTTTCGGCAGAGCCCTCGGCGTTAGATGCTTTACAAATATATTCTCCCTCGTCCTCGGGGTAGACTTCTTCGATATGTAATGTGGCTTCACGGTTCTTGTATTTGAGACTGATAATGTCTGATGAGGCTAGCTGTTCTGAGCCCTTATACCAATTAACCTTTGGCTCCGGTTCGCCGGAAACTACGCAAGCTAATGTCAACGCTTCGCCATCCTTAATCGTTAGGTCTTGCAGCGGCGTGATGAACTTCGGTGCGGAAGATTCCTCAGGTACTGTATATGACAATTTGAATTATAATTAACGTGACGTTTATGTTACCCGTCTTTCACTCGAAAGACAAAAAGCTACAACAATTTACTAGGTTTTGTTGTTAGACCGCTGCGAACAAAGCTGTTGTATCAGCTATGATTGTTGTCTTACTGTTATGGTTATTAAGCTAGTAATTATTTAAATGGTGGGAGTTCGAAGGGACTGCTTTGCACAGCCCACCCTCCCATACTCACCATTGGGTGGATTAGAATGATCTCTCTTTCTGATTTTTACTATAACATGCCAATTACGTGATATTACCTCTATAGCTTCCACTAGCAGCGCAATGCAACTGCCTAATACTACCGGGACTCGTTTATCCCAAAACAAAGGATATGAGCAAGTAGACGCACGTTCAAGCTCCTTGGTCTGATTACGGGAACGTGAAGGGCTGGTTGAGTCCCCTGAAACCGCTGTGGATCCGTACGGCTTTTGTGTCCGGATAGATCCAATATCACTCGACAGCTTCGAAACGGCCGAGGATAGAGTGCTGTCCGTTGTCGCTCTGTAATTCCATCGGCGTTCACATGGTATTTCCTGGTTCATTAATATTTCATATATTTATTCGGCTAGATTAAGTAACGTAATAGGCCGACATTCAGCCTGTACACGAATTTTCCATTGTGGCAAAATATCTGCGGAACACGTTTTTTTGCACCAATGACAGGCTACAAGCACGCAAATTAGGTAGAGTTGGTTTACGGTGCCGTCCCAGTCATAACAGGGATGTCTCCTTAGCGACTTGCTTGGCCATAGTTAGTGCGAGACAGATGAAAAGTATGACAGGTGTTACATGCTATATATATCTATGAAATTATTTCATAAAAGATTTCTCGGTTCAGATTAGCGTACCTATACCCAGAGCTGCTGTGACTACGGTAGTCGGAGTTTGAACGAAACTGCCTGCTCGGGCTGGTCAAGTAGGACGACGATGTTATGTAGTCCGTACGGTATCGTGAGTCGCTTGTCGACAAGTAACCCGTGTAATGGTCGCTTGATCCACTGTAGGTTCTGTACGATGCTTTGTGTTTATCTGAGTACAACGAAGATGAGTTGGAACCTGAGAACCTACGGCCCATCGTAGAGGGAGACCACTTCTTTCGATCTGGGCCGACAAAAAGAAGCACAATCCCAAACACAGTTTTAGGGCAATTACATTATTATAGGCCGTTTTCACATTACGTATAATAAAGCTTGGCATGACTGAACTGATCGAAATACATTAGATTGCCTACAAATTAATAGTAACGGTGAAATTCTAGCATTGCTACAACTGATGTATGAGGTGCATCCATGCAAAAGGATGTTTCTGTAGCGGTCACATTGTACGTTAGCATCTTATCTAGGGCGGGTCTGCGGTACTCATCTTGATGTTGATCTGGCAATCATTAGTCTAGTTTTTAAAAAAAAAATTGCCTGTTTGCAGATAGTTTATTCTGTTAAATATCTACGCTATCTAATTACCATAGCTATTAAACACATAGTTAATTAAAAATTATTGAAAATTATTATTTAGTTACCACTGTTATCGAATATGCTGGATATTAGGACATATAAGTTTTCTGCCATATATAACATGGTATAGTTCCAATAGTTTTTACTTTTTTTTTTATTTAATACAATAATCAGGTAGATAAAGATATAGTAGGCAGCAGGGTAAATATAAGACGAATATCAGTTTGACATATTTTGCCCATCAAATAGGCCGGAAATATAATATTTATGTAGGATCTCCTCACCTTCAACATAAAGATGACAGCTGGTTTCTGCCATGCCGAGTGCATTTGTTGCTTGGCAGGTATATTTGCCAGCGTCTTCGAGCGAGCATGAGGCGATCTCGCATGTGACAACGCCATCAGAATGCGTCATCCTCACATCGTATTTCGAGAGTTCGCGACCATCCTTAAACCACTTCACGTCACATACTGGCTTTTCCTCAAGACATGCCAGCAATTTGACGCCCAGATGAAGTTGAATAACGCGGTTTCGCAAATGGAAGCTGAAATTGGGAGCACAATCCTTCATGTTGTCATATGGATTAAAGCGGAGGGGTTCCATGCGTCGGCGCACGGGCTCCTCCACCTTGAACTGCGGCAACTGTTGCGGCATTGGATGTACATTGAGGAACACCGGCTCCTCGCGGAAGCCATAGTGATTCTCAGCGCGGATCATGTATTCGCCTCGATCGTCAAGGCGGCAACGGTTGATGATGAATGTGTAATCGTCGCCCATATATCGTTTCATGTACTTAACGCTCTGACGGAGTTCACCCGAGTCACGGTACCAAGTTAGAGTGGCAGGCGCTGGTGCAATCACACGACAATAAAACTTAGCAGCCTGGCCCTCGTAGGCCATTGTTGAGTGAGGCTTGATTACGAAGCGTGGCACCATCTCTCTCTTATCGATAACGAATTCTTCAATGCGATGCAACTTTTCCTGGAGCTTACGCAACGAGCTGTAGTTGGCCGTATGGCCGAACGGCAGAATGGCGCTGTCCCAGTATTTTTTGTAACGATCTCGCATACGATCACGGAAGGACACGTACTTCTTGCTGCTGATGGTCCTGTCGTCGGTCTTGGTCTGCCCTTTCAGCCAAGGGTGCTCAAGACACTCATGCGCCGTCATACGTTTGTCCTTGTCCTTCACGAGTAGGCGTTTGATAAAGTCTTTGCCTTCTTCCGAAATTCCGGAAAAGGCCTCCTGATCGAATTGCCAATCACAGTTCTTAACATTTCGAAGGGTTTCGATATCATTGTTGCCAGCGAATGGCGACAAGCCGGAGAGAAGCACGTAAGAGAGAACTCCGCACGCCCACATATCGGTGTAGAAGCCAACCGGCTCACGATCGACAATCTCCGGAGCAGCAAATTCAGCAGTACCAGTGGAAATCTTGACGGTTTCATCGGGGCTGACACGTGTTGCCAGGCCGAAATCGATAATTTTGATCTCATTTCCAGCTTTCTTTGTGCACATTATATTCTCTGGTTTCAGGTCAAGATGCAGAATATTTCGCTCATGCATGTGTTTTATGCCTTCGCAAATTTGGCGCATGTAGTTGATTACTTCAGATTCAGTCATACGATGATCGTCGCATGCAATACGCTCAAACAACTCACCACCGGCCATGAATTCATAGATCAAGATCATCTCATCATCATCTTCGAATGCGTCGTGGAGGCGAATTAGCTTGTTGTGGTGCAAAAGCTGATTCATGATGTCAATCTCTTTTTTAATGACAGCCTTCTCATACTGATTTGCTACAGGAATGAACTTCGCAGCGTAAATGTTGCCAGTCTTACGTTCCCGACAACGGTGGACGACTCCGAAGGCGCCGGTGCCCAGCTCCTCGAGGATGTCATAGTAGTCATAAACGCTTGTACTCTTGATATCTACTGGCTCGGGAATGCTTGTCAGAGTTTGTACAAATTTATCATAGTCGCTCACTGGTCCTTCGGATTGGCCGCGCTTCTTCTTACCGTGTTCATCCACTTCAACTTTCTTTTGTTTCTTTTGTTTGGTTGCACGTGTCGTAATGGGTGTGCTGGCTTCAGAGGGCTCGCTGCGACCGTAGATATTCTCAGCACAGACACGGAACTGGTACTGTGTTCCTGGATTCAGACCAGTGATTTTGTGAGTAAGAAAACGGGTATTCGTTACCCGTACCCAGTGAGACATACCAGCCTCGCATTTTTCGATGACGTAGTTGGTGATATGGCTGCCGCCATCCCAAAGTGGTGGCATCCAGGTGAGAATGCATGACGTCTCGTTGAACGATTCGACGCCAGGGTGGCGAGGTGGATCGGGTCGGTCGGAGATTTGAACGATGATCACGGCCGAGTCAACTCCAAGTTCGTTCTCAGCCACAATGCGATACGGCCCGTCGTCGAGCTGAGAGGCATCCTTGATTGTAAGAATCGCATGTCTCTCTTTTACTTGAATATCAAAGTGGGCGCCTTTCTCGATCTCGACATCGTCTTTACTCCAGGTAATCTTCGGACGAGGGAAGCCAGTGAAAGGGATTTTTATCTGGACGTTTTCACCTTTATCGAAGCAAGCAAGATCGCGGAATCTTGGAGGTACATTAAGATGTGGCGGTGACTTAATGAGCAGTTCTGCACGACTTGTTCGGGCTCCGGCGATGTTTACGGCACGACAGCAATATTCGTCGGCGTCCTCGCCGAAGATATCATTGATGGCTAGCATATACATGTCGCCGTCTCGGAGCATACTGTACTTTGCGCCTTGGTGCAGCTCGCGGGTGCCCTTGTACCACTGAATTTCGGGGACAGGCTGGCCGCTGACCTTGCACATGAACTGGACATTTTTACGCTCCACCCCCATAACCTGCTTAAGAGGAATGGTGAACTCCGGTGGCGTTGGCTGGTTGGGATCTTTGATCTTAACTTGTCTTGAGTTCTGTGACGGTGGCGAAATGCCAGCTTCGTTAACCGCAAAGATGCGGAACTCATACTCGCGGTCTTCAACTAAATTACCAATATTGAACTGAGTTGGTAAACAGAGATAGTTCTGGTTGATGCGCTGCCACAAATTGGAGCCAACTTCACGCTTTTCAACGTAGTATCCGAGAACCCTAGAACCCCCATCATTCTCAGGTTTGGTCCACTGTAGATTGACGAAATCGCCTCCGACCTCGGTAATATCTGGGATTCCGGGCGGCCCGGGCGGGTCGAAAGGAAGTTTGGCAATGATTGGATTTAGACCCTCAAGCGGAACGGACATTCCGTTCTCATTGACTGCCATTACACGGAAGATATATTCGCCATTCTCTTGAAGACCTTGACAAGTGAACTGAGTGTCCTTGCAGCAGCTTGTAGCTACCACCCACTGCTCATGTGTGGTTTCCTTACGTTCGACAACATAATGAGTGACACGGCAGCCGCCATCGAACTTTGGTGGGTGCCAAGAAAGATGGCAGGTATGCTGGGTAATCTCGGACGTTACTAATGGTCCGATTGGTGGTCCAGGCAAGCCAGTAACCCAAACATTGAAGTAGCCAGTATCCATACCTGAGTCATTCCTGACCTGTATTTGGTATTTGCCTTCTTTATCTTTCTTAATGTCCTTAAGAAATACTATCGCATAATCATCGAAAACTGTAACCTTAAAGTCAACGGTGTCCTTAACCTCAAGACCGTCCTTGAATAGGGTAACTTCGAATGGTGAAGTTCCTGAAAAGTAGATCTTAATCTTTCCATTATCATGCTCTGGGAAGAACACATCGTTAGGACAACGCTCAATCCTGGGTGGCGCTGCAATGCGGAGTGTGCAGCGTGTCCTTGTGCTACCCATGGAGTTGCTAGCTTCACAGCAGTATTCACCTTCGTCACCATCCTCAATGTCCTCGAACATCAATTGGAACACGCCCTGGCCTTTATCCACGTACCGGATGCGAGCTGATGGCGTAATGTCGCGTCCGTTCTTAAGCCAACGAGCAGTCGGCAACGGTTTGCCGATAGCCTCGCACTCAAGAATGGCACCTTTCTTGATTGTGACGTTCTTATCGTAAAGCTTACGAACAAATTCGGGCAGTGTCCCGTCCTCCGTGCTGGTTGCTTTAATCGGATTGGTGCAGGCAGACGGATCTGAACGTCCAGCAGCATTAATGGCAATGATTCTGTACTCATACGTCACCCCCTCTTTTACGCGTGAATCGCAGAAATTGAGATCGGTGGCGGGATATTCCGTAACAGTGTACCAGAATGATGATGTAACATCGCGGCGTTCGATAATATAACCAGTAATACGTGAACCTCCATCCGAACGTGGCTTCTCCCATGTAAGATCGATGTAAGCCCTGCTGACCTTGGTTACTTGAGGATTCTGCGGCGGTGACGGCACGGTGAACTTCGGTGTAAGTTTGAATGATTCTGTGGGAGCTGATGGCAGAGAGAATCCGGCAGCGTTCTTGGCCTTCACACGGAACTCATAAGTGCGACCTTCGAGAAGACCAGACACCGTGAGGCGGCAATCCTTAACCAGGACCTCCTGGGCGATACGCCAGCGGCCTTCGGTTGGCTCCTTATATTCGACCTGGTACCCTTGGATCTTTGAGCCTCCATCAGAAGTCGGCTTACTCCAGGTGAGTTGAACACTGCTGCTGTCATGGTCAACAATCTCAGGCCTACCTGGAGGCGACGGAACGTTGAATGGAAATTTGGCCGTAATCGGTGTATCAGTCTGGATGTGCGGGCCCACGCCGTACTGATTTTCAGCCATTACGCGGAAATGGTATTGGCTGCAATATGAATTCATATTAGCATACTTCTTATACTTTTTCTTGTATTCGCAACATATTGCTTTGATGATACCAACTGCTTATATTAGTATAGATCTATAAAGTTTATTATAGCGAAAGCTAGCTTCATAAAATCACTAATGTTGTAAAAAGGATTTTCTAACAGACAGAAAAAAATTAAAGTGTTATGAATGCTTACTGGTTGGGTTCCAATCCAATAACATCGTAATGGCATCCGCGGATAAAGGCATTACATTTTATCCAAATCTTCATGATCAGATCCATTCTCTCCACTATGTAATTGGTGATCGGTGAGCCACCGTCATCCAGCGGAGGCCTCCAGGACAACGAGCAAGTTTCGGGGGTAGTATCCGAGGGCTCGAATGGCGCTTGGGGCGGGCCTGGCTTGTCAACTACCAAAACTTTACATGCTTGGGTATCCGAGCCTTGATCGTTGGTAAGGGTAAGGCTGTATTTACCCGAATCGTCACGCTGAGCCTTCTTATTAAGGAAGATCACGAAGTTAGCATTTATTTCTGTATGGATGCGTTCGTCATCCTTCGGGAGCTTTACAGTGCCGTTTACATGCCAAATGGCCTCCGGTATGGGAATGCCAGCGTACGGAACGCGCAATGTAAAGGGATCTCCGGCCAAGACAATGATATCTCGCATTGAAAAGCTTGAATCAATCTTTGGCCTGCAGGGTGGCGGTCGAGCATAGATTGGTTCCGAGTTCTCTGAATAGGGGCCTTGGCCAGCGGCGTTCACTGCGGCAACACGGAACTCGTATTGCTGATCTTGCACAAGGCCATCGACACGATGCATGAGTTCTGGATGAGGGTAGTTATTAACTTTGTGCCATTTGGAGTCACCTTTTTTCCTCTTTTCTAGAAGGTAACCGATGATAGCTGAGCCACCATCGCTACGAGGCCTGGTCCAGCTAACCGTGATTGAGTCGTTGGATGAATCAATGCTTCGAGGAATGCCAGGCATTCCGGGAACATCGAATCCGTAGCGAGCCAGAATGGGCTCAGCAAGCTCAGTGGGATCTGACGTTCCATATTTGTTTTCTGCTATTACCCGGAAATCGTACTTCTTGCCAACGGTTAAGCCCCGCACGCGATAGTTGCTCTCGATAAGATATCCAGAAACACGCGACCATGCCTTGCAGCCGTGTTCGCGTTTCTCCAGAATGTAATTAGTAATCGGCGAACCTCCGTCATCCTTGGGCGGCGACCAATACAGTGTAAGGGCGTCTCCATCTACATCTTCTCCGCGGAAATTCTCCGGCGGTCCAGGACGATCGAGTACTGTGACCGAGCAATAGGCAGTATCGAAGCCATGTTTGTTTTTGAGTTGTAGTTTATATTGGCCAGCATCTTCACGCTTGGCGTTGGTAAGGGTAAACTCAGCAAAGGTGTCTTCAGTTTTAGCGCGGATACGCAGATCTTTCTCGATATTGATTTCATTGTCATTGCGCGACCATGTTGCCGTGGGGACTGGGAAGCCTGAGAATTTAGCGTTGAGTGTGAAGCTCTGTCCAGCTCGAATGATAATGTCCTTGAGGGATCCTGCCTCAATACGCGGCTGATCCGGCTGCTCCTCAATTCGTGTGAGATCCGTAGGAGGTGAAGGCGGAGAATCGCCTACTTCATTGACAGCAATAACACGGAACTCATACTCATCACCCTCTGTAAGATTCGGCACCGTGTATGTGAGATCGGGACAGAGCAGCGGGTTAGCCCGAGTCCAATCCTTATCATCTTTTTTCTTCTTCTCAATGACGTAGCCCTTGATCTTGCAACCGCCATCATCGCGCGGTTTGTTCCACGAGATGGTGCATGAATCCTTCTTAACCTTGTCAACACGGGGTTTATCAGGAGCTCTAGGCGCATCTGTGAAATACAGTGGCAGTAGAATCATCCTCATTTTTAATGTGTAACACACTTTATTCCTTTAAAACCTAGCTGATATGTATATATAGTTTTATATTCAAAAGCTAACCATATTCTATTATGGACTTACATTTGGGATCTCTGGCCGTGAAAGGCTCGCACGGTTTGCTTGGTTTACCCGCTCCTCCTTCATTCACAGCAATAACGCGGAACTCGTACGTTTTATCCTCGATGAGGTTAGGCACATCAAACTCGGTTCCGGGAACTGGTGCCAGATTAACTCTGGTCCACTCGGGGTATCCTTTTTCACGCTTTTCTATGATATAGCCTTGGACTGGACGGCCACCGTCGTTAAGTGGAGGAGTCCACTTAAGGCCGCAATGATTCCGCCCAAAGTCTGTGACCTTAGGCTGTCCGGGAGCCTCCGGTGTATCAAATGGATTCTTTGCGATAACTGGGAGTCCCTCCAAAGGTTCCGAAACGCCGAAGCTATTTTCTGCACATACACGGAATTTGTAATTTTTGCCCTCGGTGAGCCCCTTAACCTTAAACTCGAATTGGTTTCCGGGGCAAAATCCTGAAACAGAAGCCCAGAAATCACTGTTGGCATCGCACTTTTCGATTCTGTAGTTAATGATCTCAGAGCCTCCATCATCTAGGGGTTTATGCCACTTGATTGTAATCTCGTTGGCTTTGATGTCAGGATATGCCATAGGGCCTTGCGGCGGTCCAGGCTTATCATAGACTAGCACGTCAATGGTTGCCGAGTCTTCACCATGAGCATTCTTAGCGGTAACTGTATATTTATTCGTGTCGGAGCGCTTCGTCTCAGAAATGTCAAATTTGACAATTTCGTCCTTGAATGATGGAATGATGCGGTTCGTTGGTACAATATCGATTCCCCCACATTTCCAGGTGACGGTAGGCGTTGGCGATCCGGTGAGCGGAAATGAAATTCGAAGTGGTTCTCCGGCCTTGAGGCGGATTGTTTTGTCATAGAGGCCACCAAGGTGAAGCTTAGGTTTCTCTTTGAGAGGCTTGGCAGTGATAGGTTTGCTGGGCAAAGAAGGTTCGCTAGGGCCAGCTGCATTTTTAGCTACGATGCGATATTCGTATTGATGTCCATCGATAACGGTGTCATCTGTGTAATCCAATTTGTTGACAGGATCCCTGTTGAGGCAGATCCATCTCCCGGCTTTTGTAAGGTCTTTACGCTCGATATCGTAACCCTTAATTGGCGACCTTCCATCAGATGCAGGTGGGCTCCAGCGGATCTTAATAAAATCGCGGTCGGCGTCAACAACCTCTGGTTGACCAGGACGGCTGGGCACCCCGAAGGCAGATTTGATTAGTAGCGGCTTGTCGGTGCTCAGAGGCTCTGACAAACCTTGTTCGTTCTCGGCCCGAACTCTGAATTCATATTCGTGACCTTCAATAAGTTTGGGCACTAGGCACGATGTGCTATAGGGCGATATGTACTGAACAGCGGGCATCCATTGACCACCGCCGGTTTTGTCACGTTTCTCTATAACGTAACCACTGGAACGAAAACGCATAAATCATATGCACGTAAAATAAATTGTTACGATCATATGCGCCAATGGAAAATAGTGTTTAGTCTATTACTAGTTTTGAGAAATGTGTTACTTAAGTATAAAACTGCAAACACAAGTCGTTTATCATGACCTTTTGTTTTTATAATTAATCACATTTGTCTGCAAGACTTTTTCGATAATTGCACGTATAGCATAGTAACAATTGAGCTCAATACTAGTCATACACATATTCGTTTTGAAAATTAAGTTTCTTGATACTGACGTAATATCGCTGCCTCCATTATCCTTGGGAGGCTTCCAGGAGAGGGTGCACCTATCCTTGTCGACTTCCTCAATATTAAGCGGTCCTTCAGGCGGCCCTGGCGGTCCCAACACAATAAGCTTTAGTGTGCCGGCGTCTTCTCCAAACTCGTTCTTCAGATGCAGTTTATATTCACCGGCATCCCCACGCTTGACGTCAACTATGTTCACGAGAGTGTGATCTTCGTAATCTGACCGGCTGCCTCGCATATCGGTGGATAGGGGCTTATCGTTGACAGTCCAAGTGATGGATGGCATCGGTGCGCCTTCAAATTTAATGTCCAAATGTAGCTTGTCACCTTCCTTGAGCTTTAATTCTTTCATAGGCGTCAAGATCTTGGGCGGTACTGCAAATAAAAAGTTACAAGGATGGTTTCATAAACACGTCTGGACCATATTTATCTTTAATTTAACCACCGCACATATTTATTTAGAAGAAGGATGACTACATGTATTAGATTGTGAAGTTTTCTTAGCCAATAATAGAGTGAGGACAGCAATTTTGTTGTACTTTGTCATATGCTGTACTATGATTTATAAGTGATGCGCCTAATTGTCGTAATATTACTTTCTTAGACAACATTAAGATCTATTGCGCACTCGAGCTCTCGCATCATCTGCAGCATTTCTAAACATTTCATAAACCGTTTGCGACATTGCGGGTGCAGGTTTTGTAACTTTGTTCGATCATTTCCAGTGAAACGATCACAGAATACTTACGTTTTCTTGGTCTGCAGGTTATCATCTGGCTCGAATCAGATGGCTCCGATTCTCCACCCTGGTTCACGGCGATAATCCTAAACTCGTAATCCTGACCTTCGCGCAAGTCGGGCACCGTACACTTGAGTTGGTTTCCAGCAACCTCTGCCCCTTTGCTCCAGAAAGGATTTCCACGCTCCCTTTTCTGAATGATATATTTTTGGACGGGACTTCCACCGTCATCCTTGGGAGCGATCCATTCAAGGTCAACGTGATCTTTATCATAATCAGTCACATCAGGCCTTCCAGGCTGGCTTGGGGGTTCGAATCGATCCTTGGCGATAATGGGACGAGTAGTTTCCAGGTATTCTGATTGGCCCATTTCATTGACGGCCGCAACACGGAACTGGTACGACTTCTTGTGAATAAGCTTGGGTACCTTGTAGCTAAAATTAGGTGTTTGTCCCGCTTCCATCCACGTTCCGCGAGTGGTGTCCATTTTTTCTACAACATAATGTGTGATTGGACAGTCACCGTCGTCCTTGGGAGCCTGCCACGAAATCTCTGCGCTGTCTCTGGTAACAGTATCAACATTAAGAGGGCCCTCTGGAGGTCCAGGTCGATCTATAAACAGAAAAATCAAACGGTACCGTTAGGATCTTATTGCTAGTTTTGACCACATGCGTAACGTCTGAGTGCAAGTTTGCAAAATTGTCTTACCCATAACGGTAACCTGAGCAGTTCCTGACGTTTTTCCGTATTCATTGGCGAGCTCTAGAGTATAGCGACCTGTATCATCGCGTACGGAGACAGGGATATCCAGAGTACACACCGTCGAAGTGGAGGCACAGTCCACTCGTGCTGTAACTGGTTTTCCATTGATAGTCCAGGTTGCCTTCGGGGCTGGCTCTCCCTTAATCGGGATCGTAAAGTTGATGGGACGACCAGCCTTAATCCGCAAGTCTTTTAAAGCTGACATGTCCAACGATGGTGGTACTGCAAAGAGAAGTATTTTTCTCCACAATTAAAAATGTTTATTGTATAGCCTAATGATTGTATACACAAACTACAAAAAAAAAAATAGGACCTACATTTTCGCGGTTTGCAAAGAACCATATCAGAAGGATCTGACGGCTCTCCGGGACCTGCTTTGTTGACGGCAATAACTCTAAACTCATATTCTTGGCCTTCTGTGAGTCCAGGAACTGTGCATTTGATTTCGCTGCCAGGAACGCGTGTACCTTCCTCCCAACCCAGCTGTCCTTTGGGTCGCTTTTGGATGATATACGCTTTGATAGGTGCTCCGTTATCACGAGGAGCGCGCCATTCCAGATCAACGTGATCCTTATCCCAGTCCTTCACCTCAGGAGGAGCAGGTTTACCTGGACTATCTGCAGTGCAGAAAAGAACGATAACTTGGAGCTTAATTTATTTATATTTCTTTTCAATGTAATAATAAGCACTTTTTTAGCCTCTCTCTAGAGAATTTGATAAAAAATCCAATGAGCACATTGAGAAGCATTTTAAGATTATAGTTTGACACATGAATCACGTACCGTATGGATTTTTTGCAAGCACGGGCTCTTTGAGGGTACAGTATGAAGAGTCTCCTTCGTGATTGACAGCTTTCACTCTGAACAAGAAGCTCTGACCTTCAATAAGATGGTCCACTTTGCAGGTAAGACCAGGAGTTTCAGCTACCATAGTCCAATTCCCAGAATCGATGTCCTTCTTTTCAACGACGTAGTGAAGGATGTTACTACCGCCGTCATCTTTGGGTTTTCTCCAGCTGAGCTCACAACCGTCACGGGTAACGTTGCTAGCAGCAAGACCTTCCGGAGCAGATGGTACATCGACCACGGTAAATTTGACTGCCTGACGATCAGTACCATTAATGTTGCTTGCAACCAGTTGCAGTTCACCGCTATCCTCACGTTTGGCATTTTGCAGGGAGATTTTGGCCTTGTGCGGAGAGTGAAGGCAGATAAACCGAGGTGACTCCTCGAGAGAGTTGCCGCCCATGTCCCATTTAGTTGTAGGTACTGGTTCTCCAACAACAGGAACTTCCATTTCCCAGTTTTTGCCAGCTTTAATCTTGATATCGGACATCGGACCGATTTTCGGAGCCACTGAAATATGCAAGTGATAACTATGAGTAGACCACTGCGGTATGCTATCAAATGAATATCAATGAAGTCAAACCATAAGCGAAAGGTTGATAGTTAACGCATGCAACAATATAATAAAAAATGCGCTCGAGCAATCTCATCTTGCGCAATGATTCGAAACACCCACAATTCTTTGGCCGGGCAAGATGTTTGCCGGTAGAATCAGACGGTTCTCCTCTGCCTCCTTTGTTGATAGGCACGACGCGGAATTCATATTCCTGCCCTTCGATAAGATCTTTAACAGTGCCCTGGCACTCTGGACCTGTCTCTCCACAAGGCATCCAATCGGAGCTGTACTTGTCTTTTTTCTCAATGATGTAACCCGTAATCGGAGAACCATTATCGCTTTCAGGGGCAGTCCATTTAAGCTGTACGAAGTCCTTATCAAAGTCAGTAATTTCAGGCGTTCCGGGCTTCCCGGGGGTACCTGTATCAGGAAATCACCATAAGAAAGAGTCGTGTTACTAAAAGCTTCAGGCTCCAAGTAGACCAGACATCTACCCTATATGTGTAGTGATAGCGACTTTCATGAACTCACCGAAGGGATTTTTGGCGACAACGGGCTTGTCAGTCTCAAGAGCATCCGATTCGCCCTGGCGATTGACTGCCTTTACTCGGAACTTGTATGAATGGTCTGGGTTAAGGGTATCAACAGCCAGTTCGCATTCGCTACCCTTTGTGGTTCCGGCTGGCGTCCACAAGCCTGTGGCCATATCCATCTTTTCGACCACGTAGTGATCGATAGGCACTCCGCCGTCATCTGAAGGTGGTTTCCATTTAAGCGTACACCCTTCGGCATGGATGTCCTCCACCTTGAGCGGGCCATTAGGTGGACTGGGTCTGTCCAACACAATGACTTCAACCTCGGCTTCATCCTCTCCCCACTGGTTAACGGCTTTAAGCTTGTAGACGCCGCTCTCAGCCCTGGTTGCCCCACGGCAATTCAGCTTAGTGTTGTATGGCTCATCCTTGATTTTGGTGCGCTCGCTGTTGGTGACCTTGCCGCCTTTAAGCGACCAAGATGTCTCAGGGACGGGTTCGCCTTCGACCTTGACGTCAAACGCGAAGTTCTGTCCAGCCCTGATTTTCACTTTCTCCAGATTGGTACGATCGATCTTAGGAGCAACTGCACAACAAAATGTTCAAGTTAATATTATCGGAGACTACCGTAAACACAATATTTATTTTATCCTGACTTTACTCTTGTATTGCAACAAAAATGGACTTACGTTTTCTAGGCTTGGTGATAATCTGTCCGCTATTGTTAGATGGTTCGGACTGTCCGGCCTTGTTAACAGCTCTTACACGGAATTCGTACGGTTTATTGGCATCTAGACCCTCAACAGAAGCCTTAAGCTGCTCAGCTGGCACCTCCATGCATGGTTCCCAATCACCGAATTTGTCCTTCTTCTCGACAATGTACTTCTCAATTGGAGCTCCACCGTCGTCTTCAGGAGCCTTCCAATCAAGGTCAACGTGATCTTTGTCCCAGTCGGTGGCCTTCAGATCTCCAGGCTTGCCTGGAGGGTCAAAGGGATTCTTAGCGATTATAGGTTTTTCAGCCTCTAGTGGCTCAGATTCTCCTTCCTTATTAAGAGCCCTCACACGGAATTTGTACTCATGACCAGGTGTCAGTCCAAGAACTTCCATCTGAGGCTCTTTTGTCTTGCTGACTGGTACCCACAGTCCTGTTTCGGTATCCATCTTTTCGACCACGTACCCGTCAAGCGGCATGCCTCCCGTATCTTTGGGAGGTTTCCAGGAGAGCTTGCAGCCCTCCTTATGTATTTCACTGATATCAAGAGGACCTTCAGGTGCACCGGGTTTGTCCAAAATGATGACGGTAACTCCAGCACGATCCTGTCCACTGCTATTTGTTGCAATAATGGTGTACTTTCCAGTATCCTCACGATTTGCTCGACGAATGGCAAATTTGGTATGATAGGGGACGCTCTCGATCGTGCGGTGGCTTGTATCGCCGATCTCCTTATCGTTCAATAGCCACTGTACTTCAGGTGCTGGTTCTCCAGTAATGTCTACAGCAAAACGAATAGGCTCACCAACTCTAACCTTGAGCTCATTGAGATTCTTACGGTCGATGCGAGGGGCCACTGAAATTTTAGGTAATGTTAGTAGCAGTAATCATTCGTCTAAAAGTAAATGATGTACAATGTGCTAGAGTTTAGTAGGTAACTAATTACTTACGGAAGCGAGGTTTAGCTATAACGGGCTTGGATGCCATGGAAGGCTCTCCAGGGCCTGCAGCGTTGACGGCAACCACCCTAAACTCATACTCTTTGCCTTCTTCCAAGAAGGCGGCGGTGCCTTGGCAAACTGGACCGCTTGTCTCTCCAGCCTTCTCCCACTTGCTTGAACCTTTCTCCTTCTTTTCAATAAGATAGTGAGAGATCGGGGCTCCGCCGTCCTAAAATCGTGGAACATAGCGAAATTGTGTTATTCTAGCTATTCGAATCAAACCGAAGCTCTAGCGTGCCTTATAAATATCAGGTTGTTCCTAAATTTTTTTTTTTTTTTTTTGCTACAGAACTTTTGATAAGTAAGGGTTATAGCTTTACGTACTGATTCGGGCGAAGTCCACTTGAGGTCGACATGATCACGATTCCAGTCCGTCGGTTCGGGTTGTCCTGGCGCTCCTGGCGCATCATAGGGATCCTTGGCAATAATAGGCAGAGCGCTTTCAAGCGGCTCAGATTCACCCTCACGGTTCACAGCCTTCACGCGGAACTTATAGCTTTTTCCTGGGGTCAGTCCTGTGATATCGAAATCGGTTCCGTGACTCTTGCCTACAGGAACCCAGGCACCTGTGTCTGGGTCCTGTTTTTCAATAAGATAGTGGTCAATCGGCTCTCCACCATCATCTTTCGGTTTCATCCAGGCGAGGTGGCAACCATTCTTATTGACATCCGTAACTTCAAGCGGACCTTCTGGTGAAGCCGGCTTTGATAGAATCTGGATCTCAACATCGGCCTCGTCAACGCCATATTCGTTCCTAGCAATGAGCTTGTAAATTCCGGCGTCCTTCCGCTCAGCGCGGTCGCAGCTAAGTTTTGTTTTGTAAGGCTTATTTTCAATAGTTAGTGCACCATGGTCCACGACCTCCTTCTTTTCCAGCATCCATATGCAGGTTGGGGCCGGTTCGCCTTCTACCTTCACATCAAATTCGAACACCTGGCCGACGCGGATAGTCACTGGCCTTAGGTTCTTCCGGTCGATTCTGGGAGCCACTGTAAAAGTCGTCGCTCTTATTATCTGCAGAAACTACTCTATATTAAGAAGATAAATCACTTTTTTCTAGTTTTATTTTATACAAAAAACTATAGCCTTGTTCGAAACAAGCAAGAAGATGCACTGCTTACTTATGATAATATAACGATAATATATTTGATTATGACAAGAGTAATTGGAAGAAGCGAAACACTTACTTCTCCTAGGTTTGGCCACTTGCGGCTTGGTTGCATCTGATGGTTCTCCGGGGCCAGCAGCATTGACAGCCTTCACACGGAACTCATAGGTCTCTCCAGGAATGAGGTCAATAACCTTAGCAATGGTTACATTGCCGTCAACAGTAGCCGCCTTTGTCCATACTCCGGTGCCCTTCTCTTTCTTTTCAACAATGTAATTCTGGACGGGATTTCCACCGTCTTTGAGAGGAGGATCCCATTTGACAGTCATCCATTCCTTGTCCCAATCCGTAACCTCAGCGTTCTCTGGGGCACCTGGTGGGTTGTAGGGGTTTTTGGCGACGACGGTGGTCTCATTTTCAAGCGGCTCTGACTCACCTTCGGGATTAACTGCCTTGACACGGAATTTGTATTCTTGGCCCGGTGTAAGGTTTTCAACGTTGAACTCATCACCCATGGTTCGTCCGCAAGGTACCCACCGGCCTGTCTGTGTATCCATTTTCTCAATAACATAGCCGTCAAGTGGCATACCACCGTCGTCAAGCGGAGGCTTCCACTTCAGCTTGCATCCCTCAGCGTGGACCTCCGAGACGTCCAATGGGCCCTCAGGAGCACCCGGCTTATCAAGAACAGTGACGCGCGCTTCGGCGTCTTCTTCGCCGTTGACATTCTTAACTACGATTTTATAAACACCGGTATCTTTGCGCGTAACATTGGAGACAGTAATTTTGGCCCGGTAATCCTCGCTTTCAATTTTGGTACGATTATCGTTCTTAAGCTGTTCACCATTTTTGAACCAGGACTTTGTTGGCGGAGGCTCGCCTCCGACTTTGATGTCGTACTTTAGCGTCTGACCGGCACGCAACGTCACATCTTTCAATCCAAGCCGATCGATCGATGGGATCTCTGAAAACCCATGTCATTTTTAGTTATTATCTAGTTTGTTTTTGAGCCGCTCTAACGAAGAGTCAAAAGCCTGAGTGAGCCAAAATACTACCATGATTCGGGTTAAAATTTGATAGTGCTTTATTACATTCTGCTTTGGCTACATATGATATATTTATCATGGAAAAATGGCGACTGATTCCACTTTGGCGCTCAACGATTATATAATACCAGTTCCCCAGGCCTGTACTCATCTCTACTACTGTTTTAACAATTTTTTATCGTGCACATATTACCAACACTAACAAAGGCTTCAATAATACGTTACTTACGGTTCCTTGGCTTAGCGATGACCTTATCAGACGGGTCGGACGGTTCTCCAGGTCCGGCTTTGTTAACGGCTTTGACGCGAAATTCGTATTCCATGCCCTCAAGCAGATCATTCACCCTGCATTCGCAAGCGTTTCCAATTGTCTCAGCCGCTTTCTGCCACTTTGTTGAGTGTTTGTCTTTCTTTTCGATAATGTACGATGTGATAGGTGCGCCTCCATCGAAAGCTGGCGCATCCCACCTAAGCTGTACGAAGTGCTTATCCCAATCTGTAGCCTTAGGCTTACCCGGTTTTCCGGGTTCGTCGAACGGATTTTTAGCCAAGATACTGGTATCGGTTTCGAGTGGCTCTGACTCACCCTCAGGATTGACAGCCTTGACGCGGAATTTGTACTCCTTACCAGGAATCAAGCCTTTAATGTCTGCCTCGGGATCCCGTGTGGTACTGCAAGGCACCCAGCGGCCAGTTTCTGTATCCATCTTTTCGACGACATATTGAGTGATTGGTTCGCCTCCATCGTCTTCGGGCTTTTCCCATTTTAGCTTGCAGCCTTCAGCGTGCACATCAGACACATTAAGCGGACCTTTAGGCTTGTTAGGCTTGGTGACAACTCTAATTTCTACAGTAGCTTCATCGGTACCATGTTCATTTTTTGCGATAATTGTGTATTTGCCAGTATGCATTTTCCTCTGAGCTTGGGTAAGCACTAGTAGCGTGTGATACTCTTCGATGTCGATTTTAAAATGCTCGTCGGATGCGATGGGTTTGTCTTCGTGAGCCCAGGTGATATTTGGTGCAGGCTCTCCCCTAACGTCGACATCAAACTTGCATCCTTGGCCTTGCCGAATCACAATGTTTTTGAGGTTTGTGCGATCGATCTTTGGTGCAAGGCGACGAGGCTTACATTTAACAGAGCGAGACGGATCTGAAGGCTCACCAAGTCCGGCCTTGTTTACAGGAGTAACTCGGAACTCGTACTCTTCTTCCTCCTCGAGTTCCGTAACTGTGGTTACAGTTGTTGTTCCTGGAACCTCCTTGGCCTTATGCCACTTCTGTGCTCCCTTCTTGCGTTTTTCAATGATGTATTTTTCAACGGGTGCTCCACCGTCGTCTTTGGGCTTATCCCACTTGAGTTCGACGCGGTCTTTGTCCCAGTCCGTGATCTCGGGCTTGTCGATTTTGCTTGGGGGATCGTAGGGATCTTTTGCGAGTGTAGCCTTCTCTGTCTCAAGGTCTTCGCCGTCGCCCTCTTTGTTGACAGCGCGTACTCTAAACTTGTAACTTTTGCCAGGCTGTAAATTTTTAACTTCGAAATTTGGTTCAGTGCTACGTCCACACGGTACCCACTTGCCAGTCTCCTCATCCATTTTCTCGATCTCGTAACACTCGATCGGAGAACCTCCATCATCTTCGGGAGGTTTCCAGGCAAGTTTGCAGCCATCTTTTTTAACATCACTGACCTGCAGTGGTCCACCACATCGGCTAGGCTTTCCAAGTACAGTAATGTCCACATCAGCCTCATCGGTTCCATTACGGTTGGTGGCCTTGATTCTGTACTTGCCTGTGAGTTTGCGAGTTGCTTTTAGCATGGTGAATTTGGTGTTGTAATCAACATTGATGATGCTATACACCTCACCAGCAGAGAGTGATGTTTCGCTTTTTCCGTGAAACCACTCGATAGTCGGAGGTGGCTCGCCTCGGACATTGACATCGAAGAATACACTTTGGCCAGACTTCACAATGATTGTCTTAAGATTCGTTCGGTCAATGCGTGGTTTGAGATTCTTGTGCTTTACTAGAATAGGTTGAGTAGGTTCTGATGGCTCACCTTTACCAGCTTTGTTAACAGCACGTACACGAAATTCGTATTTCTCACCTTCAGTGAGACCGCTGACCTTGCCTTGTGGTGTCGAGCCCTGAATTTCCGCGCAAGGTGTGAATTCAGCGGCGAATTTATCCTTTTTCTCGATAATCCATCCAGTAATGGGAGCACCTCCGTCACGCAATGGCATATCCCATTTGAGTTCTACGAAGTCTTTGTCGTAATCCTTAAGGCTAGGCTGACCGGGCACCCCAGGCACATCGTAAGGGTTCTTGGCAACGGTTGAATGATCCGTTTCAAGTGGTTCTGAGGAACCTTCATCGTTAATTGCCTTGACGCGGAAGTGATATTTTTTGCCCTGCTCCAGCCCCTTTACAACAGCGGTAGTGCCATCCTTGCCAACTTTGCCCGCTGGCACCCACCTGCCAGTATCAACATCCATCTTCTCGATCATGTAGTTCTCAATAGGCAAGCCACCGTCATCTTTTGGTGGATTCCAGGATAACTTGACGCGATCAGCATGTACGTCGCTAACTTCCAAAGGTCCTTCAGGTGGTGAAGGCTTGTCGAGGATATTGATGTTAATCGTTGCCTCGTCCGTACCTGATTCATTACTCGCTGTGATGGTATACCTTCCGGACTTCTTCCTTATTGTATTAGTAAGAGTAAGGAAGGACTTGTAAGGCTCATCACTATCAATTTTACAATGCTCGCCTTGCTCCAACAGTTTTCCCTTAAACGACCATGTAATGATAGGCGCAGGCTCCCCGAGAGCTTCGACGACGGTTTTAACTAGGTGACCGGCACGGACCGTAACGTTCTCAAGTTTCTCACGAAGGATGCGTGGCGCCACTGGAATTCGCACAGATATTCGGATATTTCAATAGATAAATAATAGGCGATGAAAAACACATTATTGTATACGATAAATTCGAAATCATTATAGAACTATGACACTCCATACCGTTGTAAGGTATCGACAGAAAGATATATAATAACAAAATATGTACACTTACAGTGTCGTTCTTTACAGAGGTGAATTCTCGTTGGTTCAGAAGGTTCACCAGGTCCAGCTTTATTCACAGCACGAACACGGAACTGGTACTCCTTGCCTTTAATGAGACCCTCGCATTTGCCTTCGGGTTTCGAACCTTCGAGCGTTGCCATTTCTACCCACTGCGAAGAAAATTTCTCTTTTGCTTCGATCACGTACCCAGTAATTGCAGCACCACCATCGCTCTTGGGTGGGGTCCATTTAAGGTCAACATGCTTTTCGGACCAGTCGACGATGTCAGGTTTTCCAGGAGGTCCAGCGGGATCGTACGGATTCTTCGCAATGGTGGCATGGTCTGTCACCAGCGGCTCTGATTCACCTTCCGCGTTGACAGCTTTCACACGGAACTGATATTCCTTACCTTGCACCAAACCACCAACATGGCACTCTGTCTCGTCAGGGTCGACCCGTGTGACGGGTACCCAAGTATTTGTGGTGGTATCCATCTTTTCAACCATGTACGCCTGAATGGGCTTTCCGCCATCATCCTCGGGCTTGTTCCATTTAAGTTTGCAGCCTTTAGCGGTAACATCCGTCACTTGAAGTGGGCCTTTCGGACGAGCCGGCGCCGCGAGGATGCAGATCTCAAGCTCTGCTTCATCCTTGCCATGTTCATTCTGCGCAGTAATCTTATACACGCCGGAGTTTGTGCGGATAGTGTCTTTTATCTTCAGATCGGTATGGTAATCCACTGTGATTACTTCTACATTGCCCTTGGAAACCACTTCTGTATCATTGACCGTCCAAGTGATTTTCGGAGGGGGCTCTCCGCGCACGTTGACATCAATATGAATTGATTTGCCTTTCTTCACCATAGTGGTGATGAGGTTGGTGCGATCAATATAAGGCTTTACTGAAATCGTGAAAATAGGCTATCAGTAAGGACAGCCTTTTTTATTCTAAGTGAAACGTTTTTGTTGATGGCTTGATCGTACTTAATGAATTTTATCCAACTATGTCAGCGTCTTAGCTACTGAGAGATACTTACATTTTCTGTGCTTAACCTTATGTAGATCGGTGGCGTCTGATGGTTCCGAAAGTCCGCCTTTGTTTATAGCAATAACGCGGAATTGCATCTCAGTACCTTCAACTAACGGTTCCACCCGCACCATCGGTTCGGGACCTTTCGACTCGGCGATCTTTTCCCATTCAGGCGAGAATTTGTCTTTCTTTTGTACGATGTATTTCTCGATCGGTGCTCCACCGTCGCTCTTTGGCGGTTCCCATTTGAGCTGCACCATTCGGTTATCGTAGTCGACAATTTCAGGTTTGCCGGGCTTGCCCGCGGGATCTGTAATGCAAAGATTTTTAGCTTTTCTGCTTGGATCTCCTACCGACATATCAAAAATAGCGGAAAAACGGTGCTCGATGTAGAGGACATAAAAACATTTCACTCCTCACATTCCATGTAGAACTTGTTAGAAAGGTCGTATATAATGCCAGCGAACGTAATGCTTCGCGTGTCCTGGTGCATTCTGGCCCCAGGGAAATGTGATGTTCTTGTCAGAGGAAACTGCGTATGACAGTAGTTAATCTGTTGCCGTTCACAGAAGGAAGTCGGGTGCCGAACTCAAGCTAAACAGCGAGGAACGGAATTTCTCTTTGAAACCAGATAGGTCACCCAAAATCAGGTGACCCAATGGTCATGAAGTGCATCTACATTTTTTACTATTGTGTGTGGGTGCATGCAGTTATATTTTGCCAATAACAACGGTTACCTGAACGAAACCGTAAAACAACCCAATTAGAGCAACAGTTCAGTATAATACGATCATATTTGTCGCAAAAGCTTGTCAAGCATATGGTAAAATAAAATTGTTGTTTTTGAGCACTAATAAAGAAATCTTGTTCATCATCGAAGTCACATAGAATGCCCTGCGGCTGAGTTCCTCGAGGTGCTCTTCGATGCTTGAAAGGTACGACACAGTGCGTCATGTGTTCGTCAAAATCACTTTCATTGGACAGACACGATCTAGCCTCGTAAAACAACAAAGTATCGGAATCGGCATCGTCTGTTAAAGAATGACAAGGGACGAAACACTGAGGAACGCATAATATCCATCGATGAAACCAGGCGATATCCATGCGAACTCAAAAGTTACGTCACGAATAACAACGAGAAAAAAAGATCTTACTATACAATATTACAACTATAGTCCCTCGTGTGCTTTTCTATGGAACACTTACCCCAAGGATCTTTAGCAATAGTGCCTGTTGTGGTCTCTAAGGGCTCCGACTCGCCCTCGTCGCTAACAGCCACACAACGGAACAGATATTCCTTTCCTGGGGTGAGTCCGGTAACGTCGAACTCTGGCTTATCGCTCTTACCACAACGGGTCCACCGGTTGGTCTCCTTATCGAATTTCTCAATTTCGTAGTACTGAATTGGTTTACCACCGTCATCATCTGGCGGATTCCAAGACAGTTTGCATCCCTCCTTGTGAACATCACTGACATTAAGCGGGCCTCCCGGACGAGAGGGTTTACCGAGCACGGTGACGTCAACGGTCACGCTATCAGTGCCATTTCTATTGGTTGCTGTAATCGTGTATATGCCCGTCTGCTTACGAATTGCATTGACAAGTCCAAAGTCAGAATGGTATTCGACGTTCTTCAGCGTGTAGTGATCACTAGCCACACATTCGATTTCATTCAGGGTCCACTTGACCTCTGGCGGAGGCTCACCACTGATATCGACGTTGAACGTGTGGTTTCGACCTACTTTGATGATCACCGTCTTTAGATTAGTTCGGTCGATTCGTGGTTTAACTGAAACAATCAAGAAACAGTTTAGGAGATATAATACGTTCCTAGTTTCAAGCTGCGCAAGATTTTTTTTCCAGGACTTCATTTTACAGACAATGATGCAATGCATAGCAATCACACATTTCTATACTTACGGTTCCTATGCTTGACAATGTGTGGTCCAGTCTCATTAGAAGGTTGCGATGCTCCTGCCTTATTGACGGCTCTGACACGGAACTGCACCACGGAATTTGCCTTCAGTCCTGTGACCTTCGCGGTCGTAACTGGACCATCGGACTTCATAACCTCAGTGAACTCGGGCCTCATCTTATCTTTCATTTCGATCACATAGTGCAGGATTGGTCTGCCTCCATCTTTTTCCGGCTTGTCCCATTTGAGCTCAACCATAGTATTGTCGTAGTCGGCTATCTCCAAATTGGCGGGTTTTTCAGGCTCGTCATATGGGTTTTTCGCCACCACTTCGCCATCAAGTTCAAGCGGCTCTGAAGATCCTTCCTTGTTGACGGCTTTAACACGGAATTTGTAACGTTTCCCCTTCTGCAAACCGGTAACCTTAGCCTTAGTTTCGCCGGGCCCGACCTCTCCGGCAGGAACCCATCGCCCTGTCTCCACATCCATCTTCTCAATAACGTAGCTTTTAAGTTCCGAGCCTCCGTTGTCTTCTGGATGCTTCCATGATATTTCGGCGTAGTTCTCACGGACTTTATCAGCATTCTAAGTTGAGCCACAGAACGAAAACAAAAAAGTTTCAAGTCTCGACTAATAGCTAGATCAGAAGGAGAGAGGCATTAGGTTTCTGAACACTCATTGACATTTATGATAGTATTCGCAGGACTTAAGATTTACTAATTTATTTTTTTCCTACGTTCACTCAACGCTACGTTGCTATACAATATTATATGCAAATGCAATCCATATTACATTAAAACTGGCCAGCACATTAAAAATAATGGTGGATTATAGTTCTGTAGTCGATTCTTGAAGACACTGCAAATCGGAAACTGTAATGCGTAATATATGTAACGAAAAATGAAAATGCCAATTTTTACTCTTACAGAGAACTTACAAAAAAAACATCCAACCTTATCCTTCTAATTTTTCTTTGCTTTTCTCTTCTCGAATTTAACTACAATGAATCGATGTGCTGATATACAAAACTAATGTGTTATTAATAGAAGTGGTTCAGGCTTGACTCAATATTTACAAATCAAAAAAGCTCCTCTATCGAAATGGACTTACAAGGGGTCCTCTAGGTTTGGTCGGCTTGCCGAGAACGACGATATCTCCCTTCGAGGTGACTGTTCCGGAGGAATTGGTCAAAGTCAACTCGTACGTACCGCTGTCGGCTCTGACAGAATCCTTGGTAACAAGAAGTGTATTTTTCTTCTTATCTTCAACGGTGGTAATTGTCGTTTTTCCAGTCACCTCTTTAATTTCCTGACCATTGAGCGTCCACATGACAGTAGGCATGGGTTCGCCCCCAAAGTCAATATCAAGCTTGATGGTCGTACCTATCTTGACTATCAAGCCCTTAATACCGTCACCAATTATGTACGGCTTGACAAAACGTGCTTTGGCTATGATAGGTTTAGTCGGGTCAGAGGGCTCTCCAGGGCCGGCTTTATTGACAGCACGAATACGGAACTCATATTGTACGCCCTCCTTGAGATCCTTAACGCGACCCTTAGTTTCGGAACCTGACACGCGAGCGCCCTCGGTCCATGCGTTTGAAAACTTATCCTTGACCTCGATTATGTATTCTTCGATGGGTGCGCCACCGTCGCTTGAAGGAGGATCCCACTTGAGGTCGACGCGATCCGAATCCCAGTCGGTGAGCTCTACCAAGCCAGGCTTCGACGGGGCGTCGAAAGGGTCTTTTGCCAGAGTTGTTTTGTCGGCCACAAGCGGCTCGGATTTACCCTTCTTATTGACCGCCCGTACCCGGAATTTGTACTCCTTCTTTTGTGTAAGATCAGTAACATTTACTGTAGTAGTATCGGAGCTGAGAACCTCGGTCCACCCGCCTTTCGCACTGAGATCCTGCCTCTCGATCACGTAGTGACTGATAGGGCAGCCACCATCATCTTTTGGAGGCTTCCAATTTAGTTTGCAACGGTCTTTAAATATATCGGTTACGGCCAGCGGTCCTTCAGGCGGTGCGGGAACGTCCATAACATTGATATTAAGCGTTTTACTGTCCTGGCCTTGAGAATTACTTAGCGTAATAGTGTACGGTCCCGTACTTGCACGCGCCGGTTTACGGAAACTGAGTACAACCACATTCTCTTTGACCACTTGGTCGACGTCCTTTGTTTGAATAACATTGCCATTGCACTCCAGCTTGCAGATTACATCGGACGTACGCGTTCCGGTCACGATATAAGGGATTTCAAACGTGAACGGTTTGCCTTGATCAAATGCGTAGTCTAGTTTCTCAGGCTTGATAATCGGCGCCTTCTCAGCCTCCTGCACGGTTAGCGAACATGCGCATTTCAGACCTTTAGTTTCAATCGAGTAGTCGCCAGTATCCTCAAGGGTAGCCTGCTTGAATATCAGCTGATGCTTACCCTCAGCAGAGACAATCTGAATATTTTCTCCAGATTTTATCTCTTGGCCATTTTTAAACCATTTCACTAGAGCAGTGCGATCCATGAGCTCAGCGTCGAGTATAATTTCCTGCCTCTCAATACCCGTTGTGTCCTTCAGCTTCTTCTGCCAGCGATTAGCAGCTGAAATTATCAAAGTAACGGAAATCAAGTCGGTGGAATAATCTGAACCCTTGTATATCGTAACAGAAACATAATGATAATTATAATAAACTCAATAATGCCAAATGGGTGGCATTGTTAAACGTTTCCTGTGGCCGAAATTGGTTCAAAGGTTTCATTTCATTAAACAAAAAAAAGCTCCAAATTTCGATTTTGGCAGTTTTAAGCGCTTACGTTCTACAATGAGTTCGCACGATGTTTCCTCCGCGTTTGTTTTGCAGGAATAAGTGCCCTCGTCAGCTACTTTGGATATCTTAATACAGCACCTTCTTTTCTTACCCTCGGCCGATATGTTATAGCTGTAAAATGAGTAGAACAATAAATAGATATTTCGAAGCGATACGATCGGGCGCATCTAAAAGACGTGGGGACTATTTACCCAAATTATGTTTGTTCGAGTCCATACTTGCTGTTTGGCATCATTCAGATGTACTTCTAGTAGTTAACTGGGGAACCTTTTTTCAAAGCTAGTTAGTTCTATTACAGTTCCGTTTGTTCACGTAACTTTGATGAGGCACAACATCGACGTACATTTTTGCTTTCTTATCCTACGTTTTGAAAATTTATGATACCTTTTTCGAAAATAGCGCCTATGCCTTTGGTACGTTGACCGTATATACGTATATTGTGTACTATGTGAAGAACCGATTATACCTACGTTAAGTAGATTCAACAATGAACAGAATAATTCGGGGCTAGCGTATACGATGAGTGAGGCGCAATACCTCGGCTGCGATCTGTGCGAAGATACATAGCAGACCATAATTTATTGTGTCGTCTTTTTAGGGATTATTTGAACTAGTTTTGCCTGTCATAGTCGTGGATTCAAACCGCTCTTTTCAATGAAAGATCTAGCTTTCTATCTGCAAGGGCCGTTATCAACGCCATAGATATCGAATAGCAGCTGGTTGTAGAAATCGAAGCTTCCCTTCAGAAAGGAAACACACCATTTGGAAACCTCATCATGTATACACCTTATCAATAGTCCGTGCTCGCTTTTCCTTTCCGCAAATAAAAAGTATGAAATGTCTAAGTTTTTCGTTCTAGCTTGTCGTCATTTGCAGAACACTGTTCGGATTCAAACAAACTCGGAGGTTATTACGATTTGATTGTCTGTTTTTGGCCACGAAGTTTTTTTTTATAGAAGGGCTAAATCAAGCAAATGCAATCAAGACGCGTCTATGGGATTTCCTGTAAATACTGACTGCTGTAAATGATGAAATTATCGCTAGTTTATACAACATCCGTTCATAAATACTCTATCTAGCGCGCGTGCAGGTTGCTTTACTCACTGCTTATCAGGTTTGAGCTCCTTTCCGTCCTTGTACCAGGTGACAGGCGCCTCATGCTCATCGACTTCACACTCTAAGGTGACTGGTTCTTTCTCAATAATACGCAACGATTTGAGCATCTTCATGAATTGATATTGCTTTTCAGTAACCGACACTTTGCACTGAGTTTTTTCGGCTGTGTGAACGATTTTACAGGAGTACTCACCCGTATCTTCAAGCATAAGGTTGAATACGCGCAGTATCTTTTTACCGAACGTATCCTGTTCCATCTGGAATCGTTCTGATGCATTGATCTTGAGGTCATCTTTATACCACTGTACCTGTGCTTTTGCGGAATTGCAACTGCACTCGAGAACCAATTCCCTAAGCGTGTGCACGTCAGCCTTCTTAGGCAAGTTCTTTGTAAACTTAAACACCGGATCGGGAGCTGTAAATATAAAAGCGAAATATTTTAGTCCATATTACTTTTCACTAACTAAATAAGCATACGCACAAATGTTTGCTTTGGTTCCTGGGCAGCGATCTAATATTACTATGAGCGTACGGGTGTTTACCATCAACTTCAAGAAGGGCCTTGCAAGAAGTCTCAAGACAAGTCAGCGTGATGGTTCCCTCATCATCCTGGGTCGGGTTGTTGATCTCAAGAACGTGAAGATCGCCTGTAGAGGACATCTTGTACTTCTTGCCCATAAACAGTTCTTGGCGGTTCTTGAACCATTTACCCTTGACGCCGTTCTTCGAAAACACTGCTTCAAATCGTGCCTTGGCATCCTTGCCCTCCTTAACATGCACGTTCTTCAGGGGCTTGATGAAAGTATCGGGTTTCTACAAATGGAGGGCAATCTGTAAGTTTTATCGTCCTTTCGCTATAAGAATTCATGCAAACAGAAAACGTACAAAGCCGGGTGGCAACCAGACAGTGACAGCAGCGCCTTTGCCGTCTACTGTGGCGGATGCGCACCGAAATCAAAACCATATTAACCAAACAAAAAGTGAAGATTGTTGAAAACTGAAAGATTCCCAACGAGGTGCGAACGAGGAACAAAATACGTTGAGCAACATAGGACAAGAAAATAAGCCGGTAAAAAGTGATTTTTCCCGGGCGGCTCACTAGTGTAGACAGGCGCACACAACTGAACGCACGCGTCAGATGCTATGCGGATGTGTACACCGACATGAGTGCCGGAACGCCACGCTCCCAGCGAAGCGTGCAGAGTGCATCACTCTCCGGTCACCTTGCGAACGACGATACTGTGCAGCACTGGCCAGTCGGGGATTAGATCCGCTAGGGACGGCCGCCTCGAGCTGCGAGGACTTGACGGCTCTAAACTCTTACCATCAACAAAATCAATTAGGTTTTGTTAACTCTAAAATTAGTATTCGACGGTTTGTTTCAAATGCGCCTAGGAAAAACAATACGATACAAATATACAGTTTTTCAGATAACGTCAGGCATCGTTATGGAAGAAAATTAGTGACAGTGCATGTTGAAAATTCTATCAAATCTATTAGATCAAAATTTCATATCGAGAAGAGTCAAGTGTTAAAGAAGAAAAAGCGCAATCAAAAAGTCAGTTGAGAAAAATGGCAGTGTTATACGTTGTGCGTAATTAGAACTTATCATATGAAGACAATGAAGTAGATCTTAGATTCGAATATAGATTAGGCGTATACGCCGGCTAAATCTGAAGGCTTGACGTTTAACACATATGCGTGCATTTGGAACCGCGTCACTTGCAACGTTGATAACTTCTATAAAAGTTGTATGTTCGGAAGACACGTTATAAACAACAGCTCGCTTTTACTTTTAAAGTTTACCTTTTAGAAAAAGAAAAATTGTATTTGTTCATAATTACACTCGATTCCTACAGCTCTTACCAATAACCCTTAAGACCATGGTCGTGCTTTTCTATGATGAGAATTTATTTTAGCCGGAAATATTTTTCTACACGATAATTCTTCCAATCTAAGGTAGCAGGGAACAACTGTTAAATTAATTTGTTATTATACTATAGGTGAAACATGTGTTCGGCTTCTTAACTACTTAATGCAGTGTGTTGAGCCAGCACACAAACGGAACGTTTGACATAAAAAGACTAATAGAAACCCTTTGCATGCGTAGCCAAGATGTCGTACCTTTTTGGCAAGTTTGGCGAGTTCCTCCTCCTTTTCGCGCTCCTTAAGCTGCCAGTCGGGGTCTGGCTTTTGTTTGTTCCATTTACCGTACTGGCGGTGCTGCAACATGGCACGGAAGTCCATGCCGCCCTCAGGGGCAACCAGCAACGACATGGAAACAGTGTCCTCGCCGTGACAGTTGTAAGCGGTGATAGAATACTTTCCTTCATCGCTCGCTTTGCACTTACGGATGCAGAAGTAGACCGAATTCGTCGAGCCATCTGTTACGATCTTGTAGCGACCGCCTTCGAAGATCTCAGTGCCGGCCTGTTGCGACGAAGCCAAAGTTAAGTGAAGATCATTTTTTTAGAGACAAACACGTTCGTGCGCTTCTATACGTACCTATACTAAATTGGAAATTAGTCAATGTCGCCGATAGCACTTTGCCTCACCTTGTAGAAGCGGAACTGTGGGGCAGGATTGCCTTCTACAGTGACAGTTAACTGACCGGTCGAGTTTTCCGTCGCCGAGATATTCTCTTGATAGTCAACGATAACTGGCGGTCCGCCTTCACCGACGGCTTTAATAGGTGTTGACGGCATATCAACTCGACTATCATCGCCTGCAGTACTGTAAATTCGAATACGATTACATTAGGTTATGAACTCTTCCGCTTGAGAGCCAGTAGATTTTTGTGGTAGCCAACTGAAGTTTATACCAACCTGCCTCGGCGCATGTCTACGCCGACACTGGACTTTCTCCGTTGGCGAACTTCCAGTACCTCGCCTGGACGAAGCTTTTTCATCTGGCCTTTCTCGTCCATGCATACGCCCTTCTGCATATTTTGCCGCACCGAAAAAGATCCACTATTAACGTTTGTACATGAAAAGAAAACTAGTTGAACCTTTTGGCTTGGGAGGGTGCTTGTAGTTACTTTGGGTGATAGAAACGTAACAACACATTTCTTAATCAGAAACGCGAAAACGATAAAGTGCGTTAACATATGAGAAAGTTAAAAAAGTACAATCGGAAGGCGGAAAGAGGTCAAAAAACAAAAGGCACAGAAGCAAAAACAATTGCAATATAAATAACAAAAACGATGAAAAACATATAAAAAATCATAAGCGACGAAAACCGTCAGTAGAGCGAAAACGAAAAAGACAAGACAATAACATAGAAAAGCAACATAAACTCATCATTACAAACGAAACAAAATATAAATTCTGTACGTTATTGTTGAATGGATGTAAGAAATAGCTAAAGCGGCGCTATTTTTTCCTGCTGTTTTGTCTGTGTTTATGTAATTTAAACACTTGCAATTCTCTAAAAGTACCTTAGAACGTTTCGGAACGAATCCGCTAACAGAATGGCTTAGGGTGACAAAGATTCGCAGTAAAGTGATGTCACATGAAAGCAATAAGGAACACGTCACTCTAAATTACAGCCGGAAGTATTTTACAGATTTATGCTTACGAGTGCGTCTATGAACATTGTGAAATTAACGGTGCAGAGATAGTTCTCCGTCAACGTTGCAATGGATAATATGGCAAAGGCAATAGTGGAACAGAGGCAGTCGACAGAACAAAATGGACGGATCGGACGTACAAAAACACCACCTAATCATCAGCATCATCATCATCATCCAAGGCATCGAGCAGACGCGGGGTATATAGAAAAAACAGGACAGACACGAAAGATCACACAGGTTGAGAGATACGGGACACGACAGGAAAGACGAATCTCCTGGACGAGCAGAGACGATTTCGAATATCGGAACGTCACGTTTTCTGGACGAACCTCATCGGCTACCATGATGATAGAGCCCCGACGGCCCTGTGGCACGTCAACCTTGAGCGAACCCTTGCGGGATTCTGGAAGCATGGGCTCCGGTGTCGGCTCTTTAACGACAGGTACCGATGGCCGTACCTCCTTCTGCCCCTCCACCTTGATGTCCGGAATGGATTCCTGCTTCTTAACGGAAGGCTTTCGCTCAATCTTCTCGGGTTCCTTGACAGAAGGCTTACGGCTCGGAGCCTACAAAGAGTGTTGGTCGGTCGTATCATATATGACAAATATGCTATTTCTGGCTTTTGTCAAAGAAGAAAAATAAGCAAGTATGGCTCAACCTATTATTGAAACATCAAACAAAAAACACCAATATACAAGCTCCATAAACATATACATATGTAAGGCGTCTCCTAGTTATAAGGAAAAACAAAGATACAAACATAGGGAATAAGGACAATTTCGTGTTTGTGTGTGAAATGATGCTAATGCGTAAGAGCAGTGGCAGTACTACTGGTGCTGGTATTACTATTAATTATTATGATTACTGTAGTATTAGTTAGTCGAGGCTTGGCAAACCCGCAAAGATAGCGAGCGGTAGCAGCAAGATCGACAGCGACAGCAGCAGCAGCATCAGCAGCAGCGACAAACCTTCAGCATTTCCTTGGCTTGCTGGACTTGCATTTCGTGGCCGTGGATGAGCACCGTGCTCCCCGGAGCCATTGCGTCCATCTGCACAGCCAGATCCTTCGAAGGATCAAGCGCGAGGCAGACGCTGCTTCTGCGGGCGACGAGTGAAGGCTCCTCTTTTTCCTCATCAGCGCCGAATACTTTGACTTTTTTCCAGCCGCGTTTGGCGGGAACGTCTTTTGTTTCTTTAGCCTCTTTTGGAGTGGGCGATTGTATCGGCGACGATTGTGGGGTGGTCGCGTTCGGCGGCGTTTCAACGACTATTGGAGGTGGTTTATTTTTGTCGGGTGCTTTAGTGATAGCTTGCAGCGGCGGTGGTGACATCTCGGTAATATCTTCAATGGTAATTGTTGGCACGGGTGAAGAGGGCACCGGTGACGTGCACGGTGAGTGCACAATTGGTGTGGGAGTATCTGAAGTCGGCTCAGTGGTGTCGCTAGATATTTCTCTGACATATCTCGATCCTTTAAGGATATTAGCAATGTCGTCGGCCGTGCAAGTCCGCTTACCATCTGACGCATACTCAATACCCATCATTCTCTTAACTCCTCCTCCAACGGGCGCAGCATGCAGCGCCTCATAAATATTATTAATGTCTTCTTTCGAGATAGCTGATGATCTCCTTGTGGAGTCCGGTGTTGAGGAACGAGATTCTTTTGATTTTACGGACTCTGTCCGCTTGAGCGATCCTGTTCGGTGAGGTGTTGATGATCCAGAATCACCAGGTCTCGCTAAAGACTCTTGTCGTCCTACCGGAGGTTTCTACGAATACCCATGCGAATTGCGCATATAGATGTTCATCGAATTATGATTAATATATTTAGTAACAGTGTATTGAACGTAACACTATGGCAAGATATTCTACTGTGCAATGTATGTGCTTCAAGGAAACGTACCTTCTCTTCGGGCTTCTTTTCCGGCACCGAAGGTTTCTTGGGTTCGGGCTTTTTCGCTTCGGGCTTCTTTTCTTCAGCTTTTTCTACCTCAATCTTCTTTTCCTCAGTCTTCGTCGTCACTGTTGTCTGCTCGACCTTTTTCATTTCTGTAAGTAAAACAGACCCATGCCAACGCCTGCTAGTGAAAGCGCGTAGATAAACCGACCCGAAACAACCTTCTGTATATGATTAACCTTTGTCTAGATAAAAATACAATACCTAACTATCGATAACGCACCTTTGATGGCGACCTCAACTGAATGTTCTTCAACTCCAAATTCATTTTTGACTTCAACAGTATAAGATCCTGACATGTCCGTCGTAGCCTCCAAGATACGAAGTTGGGCCACTGTTCCGTCGAATGTGGTCTTTATCTTTGTTGACTCTCGTAGAACCGTTTTATTTCGGTACCAAATAACGGTGCATTTTGTCTTCGATTCAATACGAATCGATAGAGTTTCCGACTTGCCCTGCTCGATCTCCACTCGTTGAAGCTTACCAATAATTTTGGGCTTTTCGCCTTTAGGGGGCTCCGGAGTTTTCTTTTCCTCTTTTTGGTCCACTTCAACAATGACTGTCTGCGACGTGCTCTCTCCTTTAGTATTCTTGGCCATCAGCTTATACACGCCCTTGTCCTTAACGTCGGGCGCTTCGATTTCGAGAGCTATTGCAAACTCACCCTGCGACACTTGCTTAATATGGACCTGATGGCGAGTATCCTCACGCACCATGTTATTTTCTCTATACCAAACAACGTCAGGCTTATTGGCAGATTGCACCGTGCATTCAATTATAATTGTCTTCTGATGTTCACGACGAATGACCTTCGGTCTTTCCTTGATTACCGGCGCCACTGGAATAGTCGTGACACGTTGCGTTATTGTTATAGCAACGACGATTGGTCTGAATAGGTGTTCTTATAATTGTCATCGTCTCTACTGTTATTAAAGAAGCATTAATGCTACTTGGTTTGAAAGCTTGAGTATAAGTGGGGAATTATTTAAAACAGAAATCGTAAGTATATAATAACTCACGGGTGATATTCAAACACTAAGCTTATATTTCGTATTTACGAATGTAACGAGCTTACGTTCAATATTGAGAGTAAGATTGGCATTTGACTCTCCTGCAGAATTCTTCACATTGCACTTGTAGACGCCAGCATCGGTGAGCTCGGGGTTTGAAAGCTCCAGCTTAATATGGTATATGTTGCCCTCCTGGCGAACAGTTTGTTTAATGCGTCCCCCTTCCAAAACAGTGACTCCTTCTCGATACCAGCTAATACTAGGCTGAGGATTGGCCTTAACCTTGCACTCCATAATGATAAGCTTGCCATCCCTTTCGGCCCGAATTTTAGGCTTTTCGACGAACGAAGGAGCTTCGCCGGATGGAGCTGGTGCTCCAGCGATGTTGAGGTTAAGGTTGGCATTAATCTCTCCGTGGGCATTTCGTATTGTACACTTATACATACCGCCATCTTCCTTTGCCGGGTTGCGGATTTCCATAATTATTACGTATTCTTCGGTTCCCTCTTTTTCCATAGAAAATGAAATGTGGCCAGCCTGTTGACGAACAGTGTTCGACCCATGGAACCATGTATAGTCGGGGGCAGATTTCGACTTCACGTGGATTTCCATGATAATCATCAAACCGCCTGAAGTTCCATAGCAATAAGTAATTATTAACAGGTGCTCATTAAAGCCCTGATCTGATATCGTAAATTATATAGATATTCATAAATTAAAAAACCTAGAAGGACCAATTATTTATCGAATATTTTACATAATTGTAATAATATTAAATATCGAACTCAATACGATAATGTCTATTTAATTGGAAACGCAGCGTGTACCGTCTTTTGGAACAATCTTAGGTTTTTGAGTGAACGTAGGAGCATCACCCGACTTTGGCGGCTCCGCAGCGCCTTGCAGATTCAAAGTAATATTCGCATTACTATCACCTAATTCGTTCATAGCGTTACATTTATAGCTTCCGCCATCTTCTGTTGTAGGATCCTGAAAAAATCAGGCACGATTAAATTGTCATTATTAGATAAGCTAACTAACAGGGTTAAGTCTGCTTCCTAAAAGACGAAGCCTCCATTTTTATCTCAGAAATAATTTAGCTTTGCAATACAAGTTTAGCTTCTCTCCTTGGTAATTTACACTTATGGGCGTAAAGTGGACTTCCGTGTTTTGTACTTACTCTAATCTCAAGTGAGAGATGATACGTATGTTTGGAGATCTCCTTTCGCGCAGTTTTATGTCTGACGCCCTCCATGATTTTCTTTGATCCTAGAAACCATGTAACTTCTGGGAAAGGATGGGCTTCACAGACACATTCAAGTATTAGGGAGTCTCCTTCCTGTCGGATTGTCGGCTTTTTCGGGAACCTAGGTGCCTTTCCCTCAGGAATTCTGCAATCCGTAAATATTAGCCTTTTATAATATTCGCTTGCTGAAAACTTATAGACCATTATTATTATTATTATTATGATCATCATGAACACTGTAGGTAAGGATTGAAACCTACTTGGGCTTGCCCGCGTCAAAGTTTAGCGTTATGTTGGCATGCCCGTCTCCGTGACAGTTGGATGCGACGACCTTGTACTCTCCGCCATCTTCCGCCCTGACTTTCGAAACTTCAAGAGTGCAAGTGTGATTGTGCTTGTCCGAGATGAGTCGATATTTGTGCCGTGTTCCTTCTGGCACGAGAGCGCCATTGAGGTACCACTTGATTGTTGGAGCGGGATCAGCAATGAGGGCGCACTCGAACATGATCTTATTTCCATCGTCGCTTTGCTTAATAAGAGGCTTCTCTACAAAGGTCGGCTTTGTCCCACCTTCGGGCACGTTGGCATCGTCGCTATCGAAATTCAGTGATATTGTAGCGTTGCTTTCGCCCAACTCGTTCTTGGCGACCACCTTGTATTTGCCAGCATCTTCAACTGTCACGTCTGAAACCTGCAGTGTGCAATCGTAGTGGTGACCACCATCGGGCCGTACAAGAATCTTGAAACGACCGGGCTTCTCTTGAACTGGAGCACCATTGTGGAACCAGAAGATTTCTGGTTTGGGATCAGCGGTGATTCGGCATTCAAATAACAGGAGTTCACCGTCATCCTCCTGCCGGATCGAAGGCTTCTTAGCAAACGTCGGCGCGATGCCGTCGATTTGCCTGTAACAGAAATTAGCTTGATACTTGATTACCGTGAACTCTTCATCAGTTAATTAGAATCTCAAGAGCTAATGTATCGTCCGACAGTGGTTTAGTTGTGATGGACGGTGATCGAAGTTTTTTGATCCTGAACAATTCGCCTGTGTACGAAATACAACGTTTTACCTTATTCCACTAGCGAGGCAGTTCGTAGGTTGCACTCTTTCATTTCTATTTCAGTCATTAGTCAAATTAACATATTCACCGTGGATGAAAATGAAGATCGTCGGTTTTATTTTATCAGTAGTATCAAGCTCAAAAAAGCAATCTCACCTGCCTTTCATCGACTAGACATAGAGAACCAACCGTCTTACCGTCGCACAATACTTCCAATACAATATTTTCATATTTCTAGCGCTACCCCTCTTGTAATGTCCTGTAGCTGCTCTTCTCCACTGTCGCTGACCCTACCCTTTCAGGAAGTATAGCTTACATAATTAAAAACAGATAACCACAATGTAGGAACCCTTATTTTTGTCGTCTCAGATTTTTCATACGGATTTTTTTAGAGACATTTCTCCAGCGTTTAACCATAGGTTTTCCAGTTTACAAAATGTCAATTCGCTCAATGATTTGTTCCGATATATATATATATATATATATATATAGGTGAGTTTTTGCACTCTTCAGTTTAACTTGAAAACAACTCCTAAATTAGTAACTGACATAACTTGAAATTTAAATATTGATTAATTCGCTAATTTTTCTATTATACTCAGAATCATAACAAAACAAAAAAAAACCTAGCAGTATTTCCATCGCCATCTCTAGTGGCCCATTCGCTAGAGTATTCGAAGGTTTGTGTTCTTTCCTGTTGCCATTTTGTCCACGTTAACCCTCGGCGAACGGTGACGGCATTGCATTTGTGCCTGTTGCCAGTTCGATAACTATGTCCATCCTTCGTTCCCCTTCATGTTTCTAGCGCAATACTCAACAACGAAGGCACGAATGTCAAACGAAAGAATATCTCTGTCTCGTCTGAGTGTCTGTTTTCGCTTGCCCGCCAAATCGCGGGCGGATAGACCGCCCGCGTTGCCGTCTCAACTGTTGCTTGATATCGACAGCCTGCGAGCTAATTCCTGAGACGAGTCACGAGTCACTGCCAAGTCCGGGACTCAGGACACCCAGTAGAATGCAGATAGCAGACCAGATCCGTAAATGTACCCACTTTTCAAAGAGCCACACAAGCAACAGTACCGGCTGTTGGCATGAAGACTGAAACGTTTAGCACTGCATACAGAAGGTAGAAGGCTATGCGAAACTAGAACCACGTTATAAGCAAAAGAGTGAAATAGTAAGCAGTGGAAGTATCAAACGAGAAAAGGAAAGCACTTCGTAATATAGCTCAATAACGGTTCAGAGGTCGCTAATAGATCCTCATACATTGTATAGCTATATATTTAGAGCAATATCAACTTGCAAAGTTACTTTTTCCCATATATATAGAATACCTAACTGTTCACTTCATGAACCAGGCTTGCTTACGATTTCGTTTGGCCTCTAATTAGTAGAACCTCGCGCATACGAAGATAGGGTGGACTCGTAGACGCGCTTATGGCGGGTATTCTGTATACACATGCGCTCAATCATTCGATTCTAAGCACTCACTTTGGTCTTGATCCCACCCACCAGTAGCTGCTAAACGCTTAACTATTAACATTTTTCACCCACAAAGTTCGACTTTACCAATAGTTTCTCTAACAGTAGGCCGCGACGCTTCCGTTCCGTTCAAGATGAAATAAGTCACTATCTTTTTTGTTACAAAATAAAAGCGACAAAAAAAACAAAGAGCAAGGGAAAATATTACGCTACTGCTCGTAAAAGCTGGCAGGAAATCTTAAGTCGTGTGTACTTGTCATTCGTGACTTGGGTTGTACGGTAGCAGTAAACTTGTGATCGAAAACCTGTGCGATTTATATATCTCTTTGTAGATATTTTCTAAGCGTAAAAGGACATGAGCAATTTACAAGGTAATGCAGTATAGTTCCGTATGGCAAGCACCCACCAGCCGGCCGAAACCTCGGGCTTCGTGAGGTGTTTTCAGCTCTTTGAATAGCCAGTCGCGCCCCCCAGATACTTAAATTCGAGCAAAGCACACGGGTCGCTAGCTTGTTTAGGCCCCGGCAGTCTTCACAGATCGACAGGAAAAAATTGTGCCGTTATGGTCGTTGGCTATAACGCTCGTTGAAGGAAACCTATTTTTTAATTACTGCTCTCTGTTTTGAATCATCAATAAACCAACTCAAACGGGACGCTGTTTAAACTATTTGCAAAGACTACGACAACGTTTTATGCAAATTTGTGCAAGTAAAAGCCACAGCCTCGTAGAGAGCACATTAGAACAATTATACCTTAAGTTAGTTCAATAGGATTAAAAGCTACCTACAAGTTTCCAAAAACTACTCGTCTTTTTGTAATCTTCTAATTAATAGAACAATAAGGTGGGTTAGCAAGATCTGGGCTTGTATGTAGCTTGAACAAGCTGGTCTCTTCAACCACATTTACCGATTTCGAGCATAACGATAGCCACTGAAAAGAGTTTAGTATTAGTGGGGTGTGATCTCCTATCAAGTCGTTTCTTTGAAGTCTAGTCTTCTAGGTAATACATAAATGAATTGGACCACATACGAGGCAAGAGTTTGGCAACGAGTACGAGGCAAGGCATTTGAGTTGTTCTTTACAACCGATAGGCTTATATAAATGGTAGTTTATGTAAAAACTACGGCACGCAATACATAGTTAACAATTAGAGTTGTCTGTTAAATCTTCAAAAGCCGTGGTTTCGATATAAAGCAAATGTGTACCTCAAGAGCGCTTACAGTAGCAACACTTGGCCAGCGCTTGGGCGCTTCGCTACCGTTCACGGTATTACTGCATGCGTTTCGCGAGTACTTATGCCTCAAGATAGTCGGCATTCGAAATTTATACGTAGCTAGAGATCGTCTTAAAGAATTAAGCCTTTATATATTACAAGATGCTACGACTCACATCATCGATTTAGTGACCGTGTCGGCTACGACGACATGCGATGCTCGGCGATGTACCATTCTGCGCTGTCCGCATGAAAGCTAACCTTTAAGACATCGTCTCACAATGGGGAAGCCAATAATGCTAAGATAATTCGTTAGATATTTATTCGTCCATGTTTGATATGCAGAAATGCTCGGAGATCCCTATCAGTCCTGCCAAAGCTCAAAAAGGACTTATCTCGTTTGGCTTCAGGTCGAGTTATAACTGTCCCCAGCAGAATTTCAGCGTTGCTATTAGGGCTCGTAATATAGAACTTAACAAATTATAAAAAAAAAATAAAGACTATCATCCTTGAGTCTCTTTATTTTTGGTAGGGGTTCGGTCTGCGAAATTAGGGACTGAGGACTAAAGGTCCGCACGACACACAGAAAGTGAGTATCAATAATATAATCAAGAAATGTTATTATAATTACTATACTTTCATTCCTTACTCTGTGTCGTCTGCTGTTTGATCATATCTGCCTTTTTAGGTGTTCACTGATTTCATATGAGTAACGACGCATACTCCATTGTTTGGCCCCTTAGCAGGTATGTCAGACCAGGACGGTGCTGAACACAGAGACATTTCAAGAACACAAATCAGTGACCTATATGGAGACAAAAATACGTAGGCCGTAATTCGTTCAGAACCTAAAAAACTTATCTAACTTTTAAACATAGGTCTGACTTAACAAGAAGGCAACGAAAGGACGTAAGCCTGGTAAAAATGCATATTTTTTGCGGTTAATAATAATAATAATGGAAGTCCAAGCAGTGAAGATCATCCCTGTGGTAAGTTTAAAAATTTTTCGGATCTTTCGTTTATGGCACGATAAATCGTGCGTGCGATAGGCAGACTGACCCATCCGAGACCCGCGGACAACACACGCTCATGCGGTAGGAACAGGCCAAGATATCGTCGACCTGAGGGCTGATTTGTGACTACAACCACAGGTATCTGTAAAGAGCATCTATATATAGCGAGAAGGCGGACGGGTGGCCGGAGAGCATTGGTAATGTACAGTAGCAAATACTGCCAAAATAGCAGTAGTTAACTATCCCCGAAATCGTAGTTGGCTACTGCAGTAGGTCGATTGTACAAACTCTGGTACAGCTCGAAGAAGGCACCTCCACACTATCGTCATTAGCATATTTCTCCCCTCAGTTGGCTAGCTTCGTCGATTATAGCATGCACATCCATTCTGTATGAGCACTTAGGGTATCCAAATCACTTTTATCAAAGAGATTATGATGATTATACTGATGATTGTGAGGTTACTTGTGACAACATTGTGCTTGGCATTGTAGGTGGTGGTAGTATTACTGTTGATGCTGTAACTTGGATTGTATCCTGAATTCTTGTTGGTTACGCCAGATTAGTGGCCATTTGATGAGTAGAGACTGATCGGGGACTGACCTCGAAGCCATATCGGTGGTTGGGGCAGAGCCCAGCGGTCACTGCACGTCACTAGATGATGGGCAGACACTCCGGGCACTATCAAAAGGAACAATGTATCGACATTCAAGTCGCGATCAACACAGGGATGGGAGCCTAAAACCCAGGCGTAAGGTTTTATGGCTACCACTTGGCAGCTATGTTGATACGAGACTGGCCTGTTCCAGCCGGGTGTTACGGGACGATGCCGGCTAAAGGAGAGAAGGCGACCGGACGTAGTGGAGAACCCAACCACGACCCTCGACCAGTCTAGAGAAAGGCCCTCAGTTGTGCCCTTCCTGTATCACCGCTCCTCCTCAGCTAGCGCTGTGACTGTCAGAACAGTCAAGCGGCCGCCTTCTTGCTTCTGAACTCGTTAGGTCTTCAGTTGGCTGACTGGTCTGTAAGTAGCTCAGTCTTGTATTCCCCTCGCTAGCCAGGTTTGCCTGTTGTCTTCGTCGATAATAGCATCCGTTGTTAGCGTTGGCAAAAAGAGAAGACCCACGTTAGCCAAGGG